GCATCAAGGCCAAGATGGCGAGTCCTGAATGATAATGAGTGCCTCGGCAGGCTGACGTATATGACCCCGGCCAGAGCACGGGGCCCTCTGAGCAAACAAGAATTACCAAGACCAGTGTACATGAATAAACACCCGCTATGCGATCAAGAGTGCCCGGACAGGTTATCAGGCAGTGCCCCACCAACAGCGTAGGGCCCTACGAAAAAAAATGCAAGGAGATCAAGGCAACGCGCAAGGCTCTTGAGCGATCAGATTGATACAGCAAGTGGACATAATGGACAAGTGAACCGAGACTGGGAACAGCGTGACGTCTCTGAACAGCGTGATAAGCCTCACATTTTCCCCAATCACCACCCACCCAATCAGCGATAAATTAACTTGTTTTTTGCTTGCGGGCTCTTGACTTTCGCTCGCAGTTCTTGGTCGTCTGCAAGCCCCAAGACGTCCAATTTTTGATGTATTTTGTGTTTATGAAACTGTGTCCGTTCGGGCGGGTTATAAACCCCTTCAGAGCTATGGATCCCCGGGGGCACAGGGGAGGGGGTATGGTCACGTACCATTCCCCCCCCCCCCCTCCCCTGGTTCCGCCACAGACTTGAGCACCTTAATAGATGGGGACCCGGCAAGATAATAAATGGGGTCATTCTCTCAAATAATCGGTCAGCAAAATACAATATGGACGGTGCGGGAAGAATGGGAGAGGGAGGTGCCTGAGGAGGTTAACAGATGGGGGCTCCCGACAAGCGTAGGTCTCTTCATTTAGATGTACCTAAGACCAGTATGGGGGGCTTTCGAAAGATCGGGTGCACCCGAGCGGGCTATCAGGTGGCCCCCGACAGAAGCGCAAAAGCCTTACATTAAAAAACAAAGACCCAATGTGCAGGGCCCCCGAGCAATCCAGCGTGCCCGAGTAGGTTATCAGATGGGCCCGCTGACAAGTGCGTTGGGCCCTCCATTCAAGTTGGAAATACCCGCAACGCAACGTGGAGGGTCCCGAGCGATCGAGTGTGCCCGAGCGGGTTAACAGATGGGGCCACGGCAGGGCATAAGGCACTCTAATCAAGTAAGAAATGCCCAAGACACAATGTAGAGAACTCGCGAACGACCGAGCGCGCCAAAGCGGGTTAACAGGATGGACCTCCGACAAGAGCGTATGGGCCCTAACAAGTGACAAAGGACTAAAAGGGCCCTATACCAATGTACAGGTCTGATATCGCGAGTGTGTCGGTAGGTTAACCTAGACCAACGTAAAGGGCCCTGAGCAGCTGAGAATACGCCGGCAGGTCAACATATGGGGAACCTGCCTATAGCGTATACAGCCTTTCGGGCGAATAAGAAGAATCTGTGGAAGGCCCCTGGTCGACAAGAGTACCTGACACGCTGGCAGAAAGGATCCCAGCAACAGCACAGGGCTCCCGGAGCAAATACAAAGAGACCAAGCGCAGCGTAAAAGCCCCTTAACGATCGAATTAACTATGCAAGTGGACATATAGGGCCCCGGAAATAGGGTGGGACGTCTGGAGAGCGTAATGAGCCTCACAATGTACCAATCGCCACCATCCCAATCAGGGAAAAATTATTTTTGTTTTCTCGCGAACCCTTCACTTTCCCTTGCGACTATACAAGTTTGATGCAGTTAGTGTTAAAAATATATCTGTTCGGCGAGCTATGAGCCCCTTTGGAGGCCATGGCTCCCTCCAGAGCCCAAAGAGGGTCATGGCCCCATGCCCCCCCCCCCCCGCCGTCTGGATCTGCCCTGATAGGCATAATTTATGATATGATGAGTGGAATCCGCACAGGAGTCCATATTAAGAAAAAAAACAGGCAAAATAAACTAAAGTTGCCTGCTAAGTACCGTCAAATCCCATCAAGGACTTGATTCCTCGCTTATTTACGGCTCGCCGGCTGGTCGATGTAATCAACCAATGTGTGATGACTAAGGCAGATTATTTATGATAAAAAACACAAAATATCCTAGCATCCGAAATATGCTGAGAACGGGATGCACAAGTGTGATAAGCGTCACACAGTCAGTAGCCAAGGGAAATGACGCATATGACGCCGGCGGCACGTGAAATTACATTCGACAATTGCGTGTAAAGATCCATCGACGCAAATCCGACTGCTGCTCTAAGGCTGAGGCCCCAATTCAGTAGGGACGAAACCTGACCGATCATTGGGGGCCGCGGGAGGCTGACAAAGAGTTCCCGTCAACAAGTATGCGGTCCTCAGAGCAAGCGAAAACAACCCGAAACCAGCATGGTGGGCGCCTGACCGATCGGTAGTGCTCCGGCAGATTAACATGTAAGGCCCCCGGCCAGAACACAGGACACTCTGAGCAAAGGAGAACTACCCAAAGACTATGAATCAATACCCCCGTGCGATCAAGAACCCCCGGACTGGTTAACAAAATGAATCTCGATGGGAGTGGGGAGTCCTCCGTAAATGAGAGCAAATGGAAAGAGCCCTTGATGAAAGTAGAGGGCCCCTGAGCATTGAGTGCCTCGGTGTCTCACCTTATATGTGCGCCAGTAACAGCACAACGCCCTTCGAGCAAGCGAAAAGAACCCGAGATTAATATGAGGGGTTCCTGAGCACCTGAGTGTGCCCTGGCATATGGATCCCCGGAAAAAGCCTATAGAGTCTTCCGGGCGAATGGGAAGAATCCGTGGAGAAAAATCTGGTCGACCAAGGGTGCCCAGAAATGGAAGTAGATAATGTCCCAGCAGCAGCGTGGGCCTCTACGAGAAAATACGGAGATCAAGGGCAACGCGGAAAGTTCCTTAATGACCAGACGGACTCGGCAAGTTCACATACGAGGCCCGGACAAGAGCTTAATGAGCCCCTCAAATTTCCCCCAAGCAACACCTTTCCAACCAGCGAAGAATTGACTTCGTATGCTTATGAGCTCTGCTTTTTCTGACACCCAATCCTTGTGATCTGTAGGACCAAAGACGTCCAAATTTGTTGCGTTTTTGTGTTGTTAGAAAAGTGCGTCTGTTCGGCCGGTTGCGGTCGCTTTCGGAGCCCTTAGGCCTCCTCAGCATGGTCCATGGCGGCATGGTTTCGTGCTTCCCCCCCCCCCCCCTCCCTGTATCCGCCACCAGCCCAAGCGGCTTAACACGCGCTCGGGTGGGGGTCAGATTGATCCCCCAAAAGTTTTTTTCCGGAATGGGTGTTGAACGGCGTGGCATAGCCGCGCCAAATTTTGCATAGGTGTAGACAATTGAATAACGGATAATATGACATCAAAAATGTAGATTTATCTTGTAAGGTCGCTGACCTATGGCAGGTCGAAGTCAAGCCATGGTTTCAGCGAATGCAATTTCTAGGGAATCTTTCAATCTGGTCCACGACGGAGTGTCATACAAAGCCATGCATCACTGAGACACTTTCTTATGCAACAAAACAGCTGAATAAGCAAATTTCATGGACCTAAGGTCAGGTATTAAGGTCAGACCATGGTCGAAATGAACCTGTATTATTACCCTAGGGCTTGCTGTATGAATTGGTTTCTGGTGCTTATTTCAAATCGATCGATAACGGGAATCACATAATACACTTTCCATAGACTTCCTGAAGGTCAGAATAGGCCAGTGACTTTGAATGAAATGACCTGAAATTCGACTTTTTTACGATATTTGACCCGAAGACCATGACCTAGAAACCTCAAAATTTGGCATAAGTGAGTTCACATACATGTCAACACACTCAGTGAATTTGGTGTACCTAGCTCTCTTGCTTCCTGAGATCTCAGGAGGGGGGGGGGGGGGGCGACAAATTGTCCCCCACCCGAGCGAAGGGTATCCAACCGGCCACCCGAGCGCGTGTTGATAGAGGGGCCCCGCTAAGATCCTAATGCCAGCCATTCAAATAAGAAGTACCCAAGACACGACATGGAAGACCTCGGAATGATGGAGTGTGCTCGAACAAGTCAGCAAACGGACCCGGACAAGAGTGCAGGGCCCTCCATTCAATGAGAAATACTCGCGACACAATGTGGGGGGCCGACCGATCGAGTGTGCTCGAACAGGTTAACATCTAGGGGTCCAGTGAAGAACGCAGGGCCCGCCATTCAAACGGGAAGTACCCAAGAACCAATGAAGAAGACCCCCAAATGATTGAATGTGCCTGACCAAATTCACAGACAGGGGTCCCAACAAGAGAGTAGGGTCATTCATTCAAATAAGGAGCAGCTAAGACCCAGTTCAAATAACCTCCGAACAATAAAAGGTGTTCTAGCAGCTAATCAGAAGGGGCCTGACAAGAGCGTAAGAGACTGAAAATCCAAAGACGTCCAATTTTGTTGCGTTTTGTGTTAAAAAGTTTGCACCTCTTCGGCAGCCCATGGGCCTCTCGGACCATATGGGCCCTTTCGGCGCCCAAGGGGACATGGCTCCGCGGTTCGCTCTGCATCCACCCCTGACTGGCATGTTTTGAAGTGGAAAAGACTGCTCTACGCAACACAATCTCTCTATTTAGTAAATATGCTCCTCAATGAGTTATTGTTTGGCTGCGTCATCGCTCTTTCCGCAATATTGATTGACAGCCAATTGAGCACGGCTAAATCTGGAAATCGTGCTCACGAACGGCAGATGTGTACGACGCGAAAATGATATTTTTCATGGTCTTAATCGCCGTTTGGCGAATGCAATATTACGATTTGAATGACATTGTTATGACGTCATGGATCATTTGATGACCTTGAAATAGCCCGCACATCTTTGCGGATGTGTAGCCCATAAAGTAAATGTATTTGGATCTTGAAAGGGGCGGGGCTGTCAACTGCACCAAACTATCTTTAATACAGCTTTTTCAGTTCAAAACTCCATACAAATGCGGAACATTCAAAACGCAAAACATCAATACCGCCTTTAATTCATTCGTCGCTCGGTCACCGTTACCGCCGCCTCCGTCTATGACAGAAATGGTTTGACAGTGACATTCGATGGTGGCTTGGCATTGCGGCGGCCGAGGCGTTCAGTCTCCGCGCGGCTGGTGTGGCGTGGTGGTGCCCGCCTTCGCGCGTGATGTTGTGAGCGTGTGGTGGCATTGTGGTGCCAGCCCAGTACGCCTACCTAAAGAAAATGGGCTCATAGCATTATTCACGGAAGAGACAACGGACCGCTGCGTCCTGTTCCGACATTGTTGGAGCCCAGACTGAGGTGGCAGACGCTCGCTGTTGCTGGCACGGCGCCAGAGAAGACTCGTTCACTGGGCCGCTGGGTGTATTTTTAGCTCTTGGCTCAAGCTGTAGCTATAAGCATGGCAAGCCCAACTCCACAACTAATTTTAGATTGGTTGAGGCGGCAGTGGAGAGAAATGGCTGAGCGGTTAGATGATTTTATTTGCAGTTTTGATCCTCCTACACCAGAGGGGATGGATCCATTAACAGTGCTGCTGCTTGGATGGGCGGTGTTTTGCTGTGTGCTGGCCGTTTTGCTGCATTTTGTGAAGCGATCAAGTAAAAGAGAAGTGGATGGTGTAAAACAAGGTGTTCTTCATGCTCCAAGTGACTCAGTCTCTGGCAAGGTGTCATCAGTGGCATCACATAGCAGTGAAAGTGGGAATGCTACCAAAGCTCCAGGTGCACAAAATCTTGGTAAAGGCAGTGCCCTAGATTCAGTGGATCCAAGTTTCATATCAAGAGTACAATCCTCTGTGCCATTCAAGCAGGCTGTTGCGCACAGAGGACGATCTCCGTCTCCAACCAAACCTGTCAAGATCCCATATGTATCTGGTGCTCCAGTGGCAAATGGTCCAGATGAAGATAGTGTTCTCTGGGTGAACAATGTGATCAATTGGATCTATGGTAAAGCTGAAGTACGGAACAGCATATCACAAGCATGGCTGGCAGCACTGAACGATCATGCAACAAAGCTGTCAAAAGAGGTAAGAACAGAGTTGTGCAATGGTCCTTATTGATCCACATTAACAAGAGTACTTTCTGCAACAAACATTGTATGACAGTTGGGTATGGGATTCAGGGTAGGGGTAGTACATTGTTTTTGTTGATTGAGCTGGGTAACCTGTAAAAGATATCTTTGAAAGACAATAGGAATTTACAGCATACCTACCTAGTCAATTTTGTACCCTCTTTTTGCCACCAGCTTTTACATCATGGCATCACAACTCTTTGGATTTACCTTGGCACCAGTGGGCATGGAGGTGGTACTTTCACTACCAACATTTTAGTTGACAATGCATTCAAAGATGAAGCTCAAAAGTATAGGTCTTGAAATAGTGCCAGAATGCTGTCAGATTGGGGCTTGTTTGACACTGTAAGGTCTTTTTTGAAGATGGAATTTGCTGCCAATGTGGAAATAACATTGTGAAATTTTTGCTATTGTTCAACCACTGCAAAAGCAACCTGATGGATACCCCAGTTAGAATGCTACTTTGGGTTTAAATTGCTGGCTTGTTTTGTGCCTTGAATGCATGCAAGATTTGTATAATTTTACATATGACAGGATAGCTTGTGGGCTAGTTTGCTTCTATCACTTATGCCAAGACCAATAACTCATTCTGCATTACTTGGACACATCAGAACATGGAGATTGCTTTTGCATGCTGATCTGCTTTCTTGGCTTTCTCCTATGGCATAGTGTAGGTAGTCTGATCACATGATTTCATATCAAATACAACACCTTGGAAACCTGGTTATGTCTGGCATATAGCTGTGGTGCAACCAAACCATCATTTGCCATCATGTGACAAGCACAAAGTGCCATAAGTTTGTCTGACTGCACAAACATGCATTGGGTTGGCATTATCAGCAAGGTTACACACATAGAGAAACTGTGAGGTTATGCACAATTCAGAAGTCACTGCAATCATTTACTTCATCCAGGCCTGTTAGAACTGGTCAGATTTCAGATCTGTTAGATGTGATGCCTTAACATATTCATAACATGGGAGGAGTGATCCAGCCTCACAACTCTTTCCCTTACAGCAGTCACTGCTTGTCACAATGGCCACCAAATGTGGGTATGCAAACACCTGACAGATCGCTGGAAAACTTGGCTCCAGGGCCATGTATCAGTGAAAACTTTGTATGTTTAGGCATGCCATTATGGAAGCTTGTTCGCATTTCTCGTAGATCGCGCCGTTCTTACTTCAACAGGCAAACAATGGGCAGACTGGGCGGTCCCGACCCGACCCGACATGACCTGACCTGACCCGACCGAACGACCTCGTGCAAGCCCATATCCGTGGTTTTCGAAGACAGTAATATTAACTTTATTCCTCGGGAAAAACCAGGGGAATGGAGATCTAGTTAGGTTGTTATTTCGGTGTATCATTCAGTAGTGTTTCGATAAAGCTTCTGCTATTGTTTCGATAAAGGCATGTTGCCGAAATATCAACCTAACTATGTCTCCATTCCCCTGGCTTATCCAAGGAATAATGCTAATACTACTGTCTTATCTATGTGAATAATGTTCCTTGCTAATGCACTGAGCAACTTACGTGGTTTCTGAAGCATAAGTCGTGACAGGTGTCTCTCCATGTGCGTACGTTTGGCACCAGGGCAGATGGATACCCCTCCGTACCTCCTCGGTGGGCGGCACCTCGCCCATACGTTTGGCACCGGGACAGATAGGTACCTCCCTGTACCTCGGTGAGCGGTACCTTGCGAGTACGTTTGGCCTCTCCGTGCCTTCTCGGCGAGCGACGCCTCGCCCATACTTTTGGCACCAGGACGGATGAGTACCTCTCCGTACCTTGGTGAGCGTTACCTCGCCCGTACGTTTGGCCTCTCCGTGCCTCCTCGGTGAGCGGCACCACGCCCATACGTTTGGCACGAGGAGGGATGGGTACCTCTCCGTGCCTCCTCGGTGAGCGGCAATTCGCCCATACGTTTGGCACCAGGACAGACGGGTACCTCTCCTTACCTCGGTGAGCGCTACGTCGCCCGTACTTTTCGCCTCTCCGTGCCTCCTCGGTGAGCGGCACCTCGCCCATACGTTTGGCGCCGGGGTGGATGGGTACCTCTCCGTGCCTCCTCGGTGAGCGGCACCTCGCCCATACGTTTGGCGCCGGGGTGGATGGGTGCCTCTCCTTACCTCGGTGAGCGGTACCTCGCCCGTACTTTTCGCCTCTCCGTGCCTCCTCGGTGAGCTGCACCTCGCCCATACGTTTGGCGCCGGGGTGGATGGGTACCTCTCCGTGCCTCCTCGGTGAGGGGCACCTCCCCCGTGCACTTGGCACCAGGGTGGATGGGTCGCCCGCTGCATGCCGGTGCCCACGCTACTTTCTCACGCCAGGCGCAGTCGTGTTACGCAGTCGGATAAAGCCCGCACAAGCACGGCTCGGTCTGCGAGAGCACCCGCCGGCCGCAGAGTGATATCCCCGCTCTCTAAAAGCGCCTTCCGCACCCTACTCACTCGAAATGCAGCAGCAGCCCTGTCGTACTGGCGATCGCCACACGCGGTCGCTTTTGCCACCACTGTCGCCGGCGCCGACGGGTCGGCACTGTAGTCGAGTGACGTACGTCAGCCGGGCTTGCCGCTCCGCTGGGCTGTAGACGCCACCCTGAACGGTCCTCTCGCCGCCCTCCAGGCGCCGTCCGGCCGGCCGGCGACGGTTGTGATCGGTGGCTAAGCGGCCGTTCGGCCCGTGATGACCCGCAAAGCCAGAGAACATCGGCGCTGCTGCTTTAGAACGCTCGCGCGTAGGGCGTCCGTAATCTCGGCTGCAGGGATCGTCTCGCGTCGTTGTGCTGCTCGCTGTTGTATTGATACGGATCGGTGCCCGGTCGGTATGGCAGGTATTTTTCTCCGTCGTCTGCGGTTTGTGTGAACGTTAGCGATGCGTGGCCGCTGTCGGGGCGCCGGCACGACCCAGAGTGGGTTGGCCACAAGCCTCGTCTCGCGCGGGCTTCCATCGATTGACCGATGCCCGCCCGTCGTCCGGCGCGCGACGGAGCCGCTGAGGCCGCCCCGAGCTGGCACTGCTGTTTAGGGACGGACTCTCGCCATTGGGCGACCACCTGGCGTGGCTGGGGAACATTGCGTTCCTTTGCGTGATCGCTGGCTCTGGCATTCGTGTTCTTGCGAACCTGAGGCTTGATGGCACGAGGGGAATTCTGCATGAAAAAGGCGTTGGGCTGATTATTGCTGTTTAGGAGTGCGGTATGAAAATTCCTCAACCGTTTCAGTAGGTATATCAAGCGCTTTAAACTTTGAAAATGGGGTCTTCGACTTGGGGTTCATGCTTGTCTTTGAGCTGAACCCGGAAATGTATAATGATTTCAATAGCGTGTAGAGCACTGCATGTGCACCATTCTGCATTATCCACCCGTGCGATCAGCCCGTCACGGAGAACCAGAACCGTGCAAAGGCAAAGGTGTTCGAATTCCTGCGATATCTGCCGTTTGATTGGATGCCGGCCTCGCTCTTGACCGTTGTCGGTGCGGTCGTCTATCTGCCCACGTACCACCTTAGGGAGGCGTCGCCGTTATCGGTGGTTATTGGTCTGATCTTGGTCCCCTGTATTGCTCGAGCTCTGTTCGTCTTGGTGCATTTGGAGGGGTTGCATTTTGCATTGGTGCGTGTGATGCATCGCATTTGGAAGGAATTTATGTGGCTAGGAGCAAGCGTATCCATAACTCCCAGTTATGTAAACATGCATCTACGAAACTATTTCAGATGTGATTAAATACGGTACACCGGAATATGAATAATATAATCAAGCAACAGTCCAATGAACCACGTAGGCCAAGCCTCAGGGTTGGGATGGTTGACCTTTACTCTTTGGTTTTCATTTAGTTTGATAGCTAGGCTGCCTGCCATCCGGAGTTTGCCCACCAAATCCATCAGTGTCAGGGTCTATCCGGTTCTCATAGGCAAGCCCGAGCTTTGTTGGATGCATGGCCCGTTCCCAGCGCTGATATTTGGCGGTCCGGCCACATCCCTCGGGACAGCATGGCTCGTGCGATTTGTAGAAGTTCGTGAACGTTTTTAGGCCTCAGGCAGCTTTAAGATGCCTCTTGGAGGTTCGTGTGTAAAAGAAAAATGAGGAAAGTGCACACAAACTTTCTGTTTGAACCTCACACAAAGTAACCCTTAGAGTACTTGTACGGGCAAGGAGCCATGAGACATTCATTGCCGCGTCGGAAGCCATCAGCGTCCAGCGATGATTTATAAATCTTATCTAACTAATTTGTCTTGAAAATGACGGATACATCAGGTAGTTCCTATTGCAAACCACCAGCAGACCAATTGAGCAGGTTAAAGGGTAACTAAACGGTTTGACGGCGGGGTACCCTTTGGCTCCGGAAGTAGGCTATGCGGTTCCAAATGGTCATTGGTCATCTGAGGAGTCCTGTCCGGAAAGCGGTCTCAGCAACGATTGCAATGTTAAACTGCAGCACTCCCCTCGCGTATCACCAGTCGCAGGGTATTGCCATTGACAGAGCCAATGGATAATCCTGCTTGCGTCATTATGGCCAGCCGGGAGACCCCTGCGGCTGCCCCTCTGCACACAACATATCAGAAACCAAACCGCGAACGAAAATATTCACGTTGGTAGCCGTGGCATATGCTGGTATAGTATCACATATTGGTCGTGCAAGATGTTAACATGGCACTTACGAGTCATTGCGAATGTTCGTTGGGAAGCGATTATTCAAAACATGGCGCGTAACTGCTGCGCGACCTTTTAAAGGATCCAGGGTTGGCTGAGGCCAATGGACGGGGCGTTCGACGTTCAAGAGATGCGTCGCCTCCGCCACGGCGCAAGGGACCACGCCGCTGAATGACCCGATGCGTTGATTGCGTAGGTCCGTCCTGTTTTTTTATTCTGTACCGTATCGAAGGCGTCATTTATTTTCAGAAAACACCATGACGGGCTGTGTGGCCCAGGGGCCTCGGTTTGGCCGACGTTTGCTGATTGGAATGGATAGAGACAGAGTCAGCGGTGTATGGCCTTATCAAAGCCGAATATGACGATGTTGTGCTCACGCATAAGCGCTGTTGATTTTCCGAGATATCTTGTGACCGTTTTAGCAAATATCACAGCCGTCTCTGAACACCCCGGCCGTCCCGCATCATCCGTTGGGGGGGGGGGGGCATGGGGGGGGGGGGGCTGACGGACCGCGGTGTGTTATGGGACAGACGGCGGAACGAGCATCTTTAAGTGACGACATGCTAAAGGAAGACGAATTCCAATGAGAGATGGTGTCGCCGCATGCCATTTCGCCTTCTCCATCCGTGCCATCAGCCCGTCACGGAGAACCAGAACCATACAAAGGTGTACAAATTCCTGCGATATCTGCCGTTTGAATGCATGCGGGCCTCGCCCCTGACTGTTGTCGGCGTGGCCATCTGCCCACGGGCCAAATCAGGTACCCACCGGCCATCTGCCCACGGGCCAAATCAGGTACCCACCGGCCATCGCAGCGAGGCTGCGCCGGTATCGGTGGTCACTGACTTTACCTCGGCACCCTGCATTGTCCGGTCCCTGTTCGTCTTGGTGAGCAGTGCTTAGGCCTATCCCGGAGAAGCTGGACAACAAGACAGGTAACTTTTGACTAGCATCTCTTGGACCCCTGGCTGCCTTCTCGGGACGCAATAAGTGGCCAAGACCCCAACCCGCTTTTCAGGCCTACATTGTTGTAGGTGCTGACATGCGTTTTTCCACGGGCTGTGCTGTAGCCGCAGGGATGTGGTCGAAAATGAAGGCCAGAGAAGAATATATTGCATGCGACCTATTTATAGTCTGTGACGCGCATGATTACGTACATATAGTATCGTTGGCTTCACCTCTGACCATGGAGGACGACCGACTCTAAGGAAGACATCTGCCGGTTAGTTCAGCGCAATAGACGCCTCATGGCGGAAGCTCAGTGTGGTGGGTTTGCAGCATTTGGCGGGTTTGCGATTTTGTGAGCCGAAAGGAAGCGCAGTGGCTGGTTTTTCTGAAAGGGAATGTTTCCCATGTGAAGATATTGAAGTAAGCATCAGATAGGATGAAACAAGCTCTCTTATTACTGTTGGTATATTTTAAAGCAGAGAAGACTGCTCCAGACAACACAATAACTCTGTATGGTAGGTGCTTCTGGATAGGTCGTTGCTTGATTGCGTCATCGTATCTTGCACAACATTGATCAAGAGCCAATTGATGGCCGTTATATCTGGAAATTGTTCTCGCGAACGTCAGGTATGGATGCCTCGACCATCGCATTTTTCTTGGCCTTGATCGTCGCTTGGCTTATGGAAGGGCTGGAGTAGAATGCCGTTATTATGACGTCATATGTATTAGGGTGACCTTCAGATGCCTCTCCAAATTACTCTCCCACATCCTTAATGTCTCTCACTTTAAGCTCAGGAGCACCAGAGGGCCTCAGGTCTTAAAAAGAGCGTGATCATGAGCTGCTTCAGGAGGTCTTTAAAATGGATATTTCAGTTCAAACCCCGCACAAATGTGAATACTCCCTTTAATGTTGCCAGTGATGACTTATCAACCATGTAGGAAGCCGCTGCTGGGGTCAATCGAGAGAATGCACATAAAGACTTCCGTGGTTGTCTTTCAATTTGTAGGAAGTACAAACTGGTATTTCTCGACTAGTCGTAAGGGCATGATCCCTGAATATGACTCCCTGTTGTACCACACTACTTTTCCCAAAACAATGAACATAGAATTGCATGCATTCATGCTCAGCTATCTATGGATGAACTTAACTACTGAAATATGACAGTAACTGTAGAACATGCAGGCACGGAAGGCTGAGAGCCAGTTCAGCCGTCGTGCATCACATGGTCTTGACCTGGTTGATGTCCGCTGGTCAGAGCCTTGCGATGGCTTCTACATGTGGGCGCGGTGACCTTTCCGCTGGCGTATCTCCGTGCCAGTGAATAGATGTGCTCCATTTGTCAGGCAGAGTGCACTGCCAGCTGTGTAAGATTCGTTCTGAGCTCACAGCGGTCTCGGATCAATGTGAGATCGGCAGTATTCCCTTTACGGGCGATGGGGAGCGGAAAGCGTCGTGAATCGCCATCAATGACAGCTTTGGCTCAAGGTTTTAGCTTTGGCTCAAGGTTTTGTCAGAGGAATCAGGCCCGCGCAAGGTGCAAGTGCCTTGGCGTGAAATTCACAATATTTCATCCGCGCGTTTTGTAGAAAACACCATTTTTTACATTCCCCGCCCTCCCCCCCCCCCTTGCTGTGAGGAAAACGAGACTAGAAGGCTTGTTTGTGCGGACCCAATCCCTTTGAGGACTTGGAGGGGCTCAAGGAGGCCGTTTGTTTTGTTTTAAAGATAACCGACTGGGTTATGTTTGCATAATTATTTGGCGTTGGGGGTGTGCCATCTGCTTCCAGAGACGGTCCACAGACGATTGTGCACGGGCATTTATTTCGCAGAAATCCTAACCGGCTTACTGCACATGTTTGCCTGCGCTGATAATATGACCGCTCTCATCAAACACAGGGACGCAAACACAGCTGTTCCAACCGCACCTCTCGGATAGTGCGGAACATCGTGGAACCTGTCTGTCAGTGTTCCAGGGCTCACTTCTGGATGAGGCTCTGCCGCTGGAGGTTTCAGGTCCACGAATTCTGGCCATAGGTTCAGCTGCAGCTTTGAGCTGGTTTGGTCTGGCGCGTCAGTTTGGGGCATGTCGTTACTGCTGGTGTTCAGGAACACGCCAGGCGGGGTGATGGCTCACCGCCGGTGGGGTGGGGACGGGCCCCAGGTCAGGCGGCGGCCATGCTGTCGGGGTTCAGGACCGTGCCGGGCGGGGTGATGGCTCACCGCCGGTGAGGCGAGGGCGGGCCCCAGGTCAGGCGGGGGCCATGCTGGTGGGGTTCAGGACCGTGCCGGGCGGGGTGATGGCTCACCGCCGGTGGGGTGGGGACGGGCCCCAGGTCGGGCGGGGGCCATGCTGGTGGGGGTTCAGGACCGTGCCGGGCGGGGTGATGGCTCACCGCCGGTGGGGTGGGGGCGGGCCCCAGGTCAGGTGGGTGCGGCGGTGGCGGCAGCGGCAGCAGACCGGCCGAGCCAGCTGGCGCCGCTCCAGCCCGTCAGCTGTTGCCACCGTCAGCTGACCCACCGGCACGCCCGGCCCCGGCTAGGGGCCGCAAGTGGACCGCCGTTAACACCCTGACATGGTGACGGGACAGCAAAACGTGGGAGAGCACGACATGACCGCCGCAAAATGTGTAACCTTATGGATAGATATGTGCGCTATGCCTGCAGGTAGCTCAGGGGCCATGTGGGTTTCCGTCGACAGTGTCTCCTTTCACACAAAAGGGTAATTGTGGTCGTGTTATTGCGGCATGTCCTATATGGGCGCCAAAAGGGTAATTGTGGTCGTGTTATTGCAGTATGTCTTATATCGGCGCCAAAAGGGTAACTGTGGTCGTGTTATTGCGGTATGTCCTATATCGGCGTGCCTTAGAAGTCCAGTCGCGTTTATCATGGCAGCAGTGACGATGCAAGTGTGTGGTCGGAGTATGACGCACGGTGTATTCACGGACGTTAGGGGAATTTTATCGATTGCCCAGCCCTCTAGCTAGCATTGCTGTATCCAATGGGAAATGGATTTAACTTTTAATGCAGCTTTGCAATGCATGCTCAACAATGCTTTACAGCGCAGCTTTGGTCGTGTTTGAAGTCGGGCATGTGGGATATATATATATATATATATATATATATATATATATATATATATCGCATGCGAACGCGACGCACAGACGCTGCTGGGCGTTAGCTGTCCCGCAAACGCTTTCAGTGACAGTACGGTTTCTGAATTGCGACAAATGGGCTTTTGCTGGGTTGGCAGCACTTTGGCCGCGACTTGCGGCTGACGTCAGTGGGATTTGGTCGGCGTTCGGTGACACGCTGTGTAATGCGCCATCTCCCGCAATAACCTGGCACACGCCGGCTCATGTATTGTCATCGATGCTCCGTAGCTGTTATCCCCGTCATTGTGAGTGATGTTTTGCATCCGGCAGCCGGGCGTCCGGCACCCGGGCTGTGGCGGCGCCGGCGCTCGGTGCCGTGTGTAACTGTGAAATTGCGCTGCCTGTGTCGGCCCGGTCTTGATCCCCTGTCGCTCCGACCGCAGGCGGGCATCAATCTCCACTTTGTCGACATCCGACCCGACTCAGAGCGACCCGACTTCTCCAACGTTGTGGTGGAGCCGGGGCCGAACGACAACATGGTGAGTTTGCTGCGCCCAGCCCGTCCGCGCCGCGGCTCATGCACCGGCCGGCCGGCGCCTGCCGCTCGTTCGAGGAGCCCACGTGGGCCGGTGTGGGTCCCCCTGGCGCCGTCGGCGGCTGTAGAGCAGGGAGGGGAGGCCGTCACGGCCGGCGGGCGCCCGGGCCGGCGTTTGGGCCGGGGCTCTGCCACTGCTGCCGGCGGCCGGGCTGCCCGAGCCGGCCGCGGTCAGTGCCGCGCTCCCCGCCGCTGCGACCGGCGCCGGCCCGTACCGGTCTGCCGGCCGGCGGCCCTGACCCCCGGACCGGCGGACCGCGGGCTGATGACGTGACCGCCACGCGGCCTGGCGCCCCGCCCCATGACGGGGTGACGCGTGGGCGGGGTGGAGGCGTCCGGTCGCAGCGACAGCGGGGGTGGCGGGGGAGAACGGCGGTCCCGCCGGGGGTCAGGAGTCTGAGGCGGCTGACACCGGGATGACGGGGGTGGCGGGGGAGAACGGCGATCCAGCCGGGGGTCAGGAGTCTGAGGCAGCTGACGCTGGGATGACGGGGGTGGCGGGGGAGAACGGCGGTCCCGCCGGGCGTCAAGGAGTCTGAGGCAGCTGACACCGGGATGACGGGGGTGGCGGGGGAGAACGGCGGTCCCGCCGGGCGTCAAGGAGTCTGAGGCAGCTGACACCGGGATGACGGGGGTGGCGGGGGAGAACGGCGGTCCCGCCGGGCGTCAAGGAGTCTGAGGCAGCTGACACCGGGATGACGGGGGTGGCGGGGGAGAACGGCGGTCCCGCCGGGCGTCAAGGAGTCTGAGGCAGCTGACACCGGGATGACGGGGGTGGCGGGGGAGAACGGCGGTCCCGCCGGGCGTCAAGGAGTCTGAGGCAGCTGACACCGGGATGACGGGGGTGGCGGGGGAGAACGGCGGTCCCGCCGGGCGTCAAGGAGTCTGAGGCAGCTGACGCCGGGATGACGGGGGTGGCGGGGGAGAACGGCGATCCAGCCGGGGGTCAGGAGTCTGAGGCAGCTGACGCTGGGATGACGGGGGTGGCGAGGGAGAACAGCGGTCCCGCCGGGCGTTCGGGGTCTGACGCAGCTGATACTGGGCGTCGGGGTGGTGGTGTCACGCTCTGGTTAAGCCCTGAGATCAACTGTTTGGATCAAGCTCTCAGCTAGCTATCCCATGTGTGTACGCTCAACCCAAGCGAAACGATTTGAACTAAAATATGGTCGTATTATTCATTTGTATATCCTCACCTCAAAAAGGTAGATGACGAACGAAGCGTGTTGCAAATCAATGCGATGCATTTTCGGAATTAGTAAGATCGTGCGAACCTCTCGACATCCGGCGTGCCATTCTTATACCCTAGCGCGGGAATACTCACAGCTTGAGTTGGGGCCGTGTGAACCTAGCTCCCACAGCGGAGAAGGTGTTGGGTGGCATTTTCCGCGTGGCACCGTCGCGGCTCTTTCCTCGACCTACTTTCTGGGTAAGTTGGTAGTTGGCTCAATCCTGCCCCGGTCGGCACTGAGTTCGCCGGAGGTGCCTGCAGGAAACGGCGAACTTCCTCGGAAAGTGTGCGAGCGTCTGGAGCAAATGGTTGAGAGCAGAATGATATTGAGATCCTCGCCAAATGTCTTGCTGGCTACGTCAACATGACAATGCGCTGACACAATCCCTCGACGTGCAGATTCTTAACAGGCTTGTGCTCTTTGTGAGCCCCGTTTCAGCGTCAACCCCGTTTTGTTGTCAACCCTTCCCGAGGCTATCACTAAGGAGTACGAAGTGCCAGGTTTCCAGGAAGGAGGAGGAGCAGGTTTCTTTTATACGCAGGGTATTCTGCACAAATCTTTCCTTTTTCACGCAGAATTGTTACCTCCTTTGACCTGCGCTGACCCTCACTGCAGTCTCTATCCCGGTACATGAATGGTTGAAGGCGCAGTGGGGCGAAGACAGGAGCACTGCATCACTGAGCACAAGCCCGCTCCTTCATCGACATATTGGTCGCAGGGACATCGGCCCGGGAACCCCGGGCTCGCGGGCTGCGCCGCGCCGCCGAGTGCTCGCGCCGGGCTGACTTGGCCCACCACCGTGACCTGGTCTGACCTGAAGCCGTGCTGCCGTGACCCGGTGTGAGGTGGCTAATGCGACGTGGCCCCTATCGCTAGGGCCCCATTGCGGCTTACTGTGACCCAACGTGACTGGAAAACCCGGTTTGACCTGGCCCGTGACCCGGTGTGAGCTGGCCTCTGCTCTCACGTGACCTGACCTCTAACCCGATATGGTCTGACCTCTGGCCTATGTGACCTGACATCTGACCTGGTCTGACCTAACTTGTGACCAGGCGTGAAGCGACCTCTCACCGGGTGTGACCCGCGCCGGCAGACCATCACGGCGGACGCGCTGGCGCAGCCGCGGCTCACCACGCGCGTCACGTACCAGCAGGACGGCGAGACCCGCTCGGCCACATACACCACGGACGTGTCCGTGCTGCGGGGCCGCCTCAACGTGGCTGCGCTCACGCACCAAGCCATGGCCGTCGGCAAGTTCGACGGCTGGCCCGAGGTGAGGCCGGGTCCGGTGCAGCGGCCGCCGCCGCCGCCACCGCCGCCGTCAGATGGCGACCGGGCGCGGGGGCGGGCGAGTCTCCGACGGAGTCGTGACGTCATATGTTTATAGCTGGTGGCCGACGGGTTTGCTGACGATGCCCGGCGATTTCGTTTTTGTGCTTTGGACGTGCTTTGCGACGAGCGGCTTCCGCGGTCGAGCGAGCGGCATCTGTGCTCGTGTCGAACGCAGCGAAAGACACATGTTTTGGCGGTCTCTTGATCGGGACCTGACTACGTTGCATCTGCAACGTTGCAGAGTCTCCTGACCTTTGTTACGCTTTAGTGATGGCGGGTCACGTTATGTTTGCAACGGAGCGGAGCAATGTCGCTCGGAGCGGAGCAATGCCGCTATTGTCCCGTGCCTCGTCCTCCGTAACAGTGTGGCCCTCGGGCACGTTGTCTGCCGCGGTGCTCCGGTCGCTGTCGTATCGCCGCCACTGGCTGATCCGCTGGTCAGTTGTCCCGGTTTGTAGGATGCCGCCAGCTCTTTCGGTTGGTGACAGAAGCCGCGCGTCCTTGAGCGTTCGTCGAACTCGTGTGACGGACGCGGGCGTCCCTCGGTAGCCCATCCGACCCTGTCAGGTCTCGCGGCTGGTCTCCCGGGCGGCTCTGGCTGCACGCTCGGCCGGCTGACCCACTCCGGTGGCAAGAACCCCAGTGCGCGCATCCCACCGCAGATTGGCGTGTTGCAAGGATCGAATGTTGAAGCCGCACAAAAGAATCATTGCTATAATCCTAGCCGGAAAACGCCGCCCGTGCGCCGGCTCCCACGGCGGGGGCGCGGCCCCCGCGGTCTCCACCCACCCGCGCCGGCCGCGATGTTCCCGGAACTTCACGCCGAGCCGGCCGTGCGCTGCCGGCCCACGGGTCCACCGGCAGTCTGCAGTCCCCTGAGCCGAGATTTCCTGCGCGATTTCGTGGCGGCCCGCCGCGTTGATTGCTGTGCACCGTTTGCCGGTTTCCTGTTGTCCTGTTTCCTGTTTCCTGTTGTCCTGTTGTCTTGTTGTCCTGTTTCCTGTTGTCTCCCAGCGTCGGGGAGGCCACACGAGAGGCGGCGACGCGGCCGCTCGTGCAGCCGCCGCGGCGCGCCGGGCGCCGGGCCGCTGCGGCGCGGCGACGCCCCGGCACAGTTGGCCCGGGCAGACAGCCAAAGTGCGCCGGCCGTGGCCCGTGACGGGAGGCGTCGCGCTGCGGCCGGCGAGACCACAGCGCGGCGCCGCCCAGCGCGCCCGCCGCCGGTGTCGCGCATTCTTCGACGCGGACCGCCCGCACCGGCCGACGTCACATTCCGGCGGCGGCGGCGGCGGCCCGGCCGGTGCGGCGGAGAGGCGGGCGGCCGACCGGTCCGGCTGGCGTGGTTTGCCTGGCGGCCGGCTGATGCTGCTTATTGTCGGAGCCTCGTCTGACGACCGCCCGCTCACCGCTGCACGACGTCCGCAGCGGCACCGGCGGCAAGCAAGATATGACGGGGGGAGGGGGGAGGGGGAGGGCGAGGTGAGGAGGTACGGTCGGCACGGGTTTATGGTCGGAACGGGTCTCTATGGACGCTGCCAACTGACATGAGAGCTATTCAGTAGGCACACGCTAGAGGACTAAGAGACTGGTTTGCTATCCGGATGCGCCACTGCATGCGCTATCGTCTGTGTGAACAACGGGGGTTGTTTGGTGCGGCAACACTTTTTACATTGCTGCAGTCATCTGGCGGTCGTGCCGTCATGCAAGAGCACCGCAGTTTTCGTCGCTTCAGGTGGTGTCTTCTCCCCAAGCGCTTCCATAATGCAAAGCTCCTTTTCTGCTCGCGGTGGATAACAGCGTCGTGGGAGAGCATCGTCCCGCTGTCGCATGTAAGAACAGCTCCGGGACGTGTTCACTTGGCACAGTAGCATTTCTGGTATAGGAAAGCTGCGGCGACGGAAGCCGTCTGTCTCGTCGTTGCCACGCCGGCCGTGCTGATCGATAGGCTTTGGGCGGCCCGCGCAGTACTGTGCATGTGGTGTGCTCGTCTGCCGTATACGATGCACGGCTCATCACGATAGCCCGCTGGCGGAGGAATCACAATGACGAATGTATGCACTGCCGCGTCAATGTGCCTTGATAGATCGTGCCTTTAGGCGTGGCCCGTGTGATAGAGCCGTTGTGCGTTGTAGAACAGCATTGAAGGGGGGCAGCTGCAATAACGGCCATTCGGAAGAGGCGGTGGGTCGCTGTATGAAAGGATTCATTGCGCACCGCTAAGGAATCCATGATGCCTGTTACGAGGCCGTGGATATGAAGATACTTAACGTCTGCCGTTCCGAGAAGCGGACGTTCAGCGACTGAGTATTGACGCACAGAATACAGCTAGCTCCTTCCGGAAATTGACATCCGTTATAACAACTAGGACGTCTTTCAAGCCATGAGCGAGTGGAAAAAGCCGAAGTCCACCATGTCCGGCCAGTCAGGTCCCCTGTGTCCGGCCTGGCCGCCGTTTCCGGCCTCGCCGCCATGTCCGGCCAGTCAGGTCCCCTTTGTCCGACCTGGCCGCCGTTTCCGGCCAGTCAGTCCCCTTTGTCCGGCCTGGTCGCCGTTTCCGGCCAGTCAGGTCCACTGTGTCCGGCTTCGCGCAGTCGTCTGGATGGCTGGGCCAGTTCGGCTCCGGTGTGCTGACGCACCACCGGCGGTGGCTGTGTGCTGCGCATGCGGTCTGGCCCGCGTGGACTCTGAGTCCGTCGGCCACAGTCGCGCTGGACTCGGTCGCCGCGTCGAGTCCGTGAGCACCCGTCCCTGGCCCGTCGCAGTGTGCCGCGGCGGCAGACGGGGCGCCCCGCGGCCGCGGCGGCTTGCCCGCTGGCTCAGTTGCGGGCTCGGGCTTGGGCTGCTCCCTGTTTTCTCCAGAGCTGTTGGCTCAGCGTGTCCAAAGCAGCAGCTTGTGCATGGACGCCATATGGCCATTGTGGGCGGCGCACCCTAAAGCCCAAATGATCATCAGCCGTTTGTGCAGTTGCGGTGGACTCGATTGCAGCCTAGCCATCTGTCTGAGGGGCCACCCCCCGTAACGCCTGTACAGGTGCTGCCGCTGCCGTGAGTTTGCGCTGCTGGCCTTCTTGACTTGATCCGGCCTGTCGCCTACAGCAAATGAGGGCGTTCCTGAGGTTGTCGTGGCCTGCTGTCTGTGCCGAATGTGCTGGCAATGGTCTGGCAGCCCAGGGGAGAGGGGGGAGGGAGGAGGAGGCGGCGGGCAGGCTTGCCTGCGCTGTTGGAGCAGCGCCGTGGACCATAGGTCTGACCTGTAAACCCACTGACCGATGCCCGCAGCTGACCTGTGCTCCTCTGCCACCTGACCTCTGAGCCCGCCGACCTGCCCTCTGAACCCGCTGCCCTCGGAGCCCGCTGACCTCCGACCTTTGTCCTCTCGAGCCCGCCGATCTGTGATCCATCTGACCTCTGACCCAGCTGAGCTGTGATCTGACCTGTGCCCTGCCGACTCGTGATCCGCCGGTCTGTCGTCGCCGCAGGTGCAGATGCAGCTGGAGCTGGCCGACGACAAGGGCCGCTCGAGCTCGCTGGAGGAGCAGATCCGGCAGGAGGGCGCCAGGGAGGTGGTGACCGGCTGCTTGCGCGGCGCCGTGCTCGACCTCAACTTCGCGCGCGAGCCCGACTTCCCGCCGTTCGTTCGCCGCCAGGAGCTGGAGCGGGTCCGCAGCCTGGTGAGTCAGAGTCGGCCCACTGAGTCACAGAGTCGGCTGAGTCACGGCCGCTGCTTCCGATCGGATCGGTTACCGGTTTGTTGCGGGGTGCAGAGGTCTGAGATGTACGGTCGGGTGGAGGGAGTCACGCGAGTCTTTCGGCCAACTGCTTGGACTCAGCGGACCCTGACGGACGTCGCGTCTGGGGTGATGAGTCGACCGACTCCCTCCCTGTCGTGGGAGTCGATGAGCGTCTGTCCGGAGCTCGGTTGACTCAGAGTCAGATGTCCCGCGCCTTCTTCGTCCTCGCGCGTAGGCCGTCGGTCGTCGCATTACCTGCAGTGAAAACGGATGCTGGGTGAGTCATTAGGGGCCGTCAAGGGAGGGCGCGTCACTTCTCGCCGACTCAAGTGGTCGCCGAGATCGAGTCGCCCGCTTGACCCGAGACGACGCCGCGTTTGTGTCGAGCGCCTGACCGAGCCGGGCGTCGGTCGTGTCCGGGCCGCGTGACCCGCGGCCCTGCCATCCGTGAATGTCGCCACGCTCACCAGCCGCCGCTGTGAACGGCTTGACTGCCCCCGCCGGGCCGCTAGCGGCCCGCGCGACGGGCGGCCGCCACTCGGTCCGGCCTCCGGTCACCTGATGTTGGCCTGTCCCGGGGAGCAGGTCTGTCAGGCTCGGGGTCGGAGGCGGCAGGCGGCGGTGCGCCGGACGCGTCGAGCGATCCAGGCCCGAGCCGCGCCGACCGCCCGTCGGCTTCTCCGGCGCCGTTGCGGCGGTCGGCGCGCGACGTGTCGATAATGACGCGAGATGTGGCAGCGGCAACTGCGTCGCCGGTGCGTGCGTCGACGAGTAATCGGTGATCAATCGACCGCTGTCGCCCGGCCGCCGAGCAGTGAGCCCTCAGCGGTCGGCCCGGTGCGGCGCCGAGCAGGGATCGACCGGGCGGCCCTCTCAGCGTCGGCGAGCGGACCGGCGCCCAACTGGCCCCGACCCCGCCGGTGCGGAGAGCGGCCCAGCAGCGACGCCTCTCCCGTGTCCGGCGAGGCGGCGCGCCGCATCTGTGAGCGTCGATGACCGCGCCGCGCGGCCGTAACCGGCTGGCGTGTCGGGCGATCGGTGCGAGGGAGGGGAGTCGCCCTGGCAACACCTGTTCTGAGGCGGCGCTGCCGCGTGTGCCGCACTGCTTTAAAGCGGGGGTGGGCTCTGATTGCTCAGCGGCACGAGCCGCGCCGGTCCCCTCCCCTCCCCTCCCTTGGGCCAGCTGTGTGGAGACGCTGTCCCGGCGGCGTCCGTCCGAGGCCCCGGGGCAATCGAGTCCCGCTGGAGCGCGGCCAGCCGGCTATTAATTACGGCCTGGCGCCCGTTGTCAGCCGAGTGGGCGTGGCAGGGGGCACTATGGCGCCGTCTGCGCGCGCACTGAAGCGCTTGGCCCCACGGATCGGAGCCGACTGGCTCACACACCGAGACAGCGGATATGCTCGATGCGTGTGTGCTGCTTGTGTGTCATTGGGGCTGTACGACGCACTCAGCTGCTGAGGCTTTATGACCTCGCCTGCGTCTCACTTTGGCGGAAAGCGTGGGCACCGCGGGAATCGAACCTCGTACCTCTGGTTTCCCAGACGCGCAGTGGTTAGCGCAGACGCGTTAACCACTACAGTACCGGCACCTCCTGTGTGCTGCTTGCGAAGCGTTGTTGCAGCGCTGGGTGCGCGCCGTTTGGATCATCCCGCGCTGATGTCAAGTGTCCATGGGTGATCACTGATCTTCCGCATTCACATGGGTCTTCCCGTATTAATGCCGCCTTTCCGCACGTCGGTTGCCCCCAATGGAGCCGACGCGGCCTCACCCTCACCCCGCATTTTTCTCCTAATAGCACAGATGGCTCGCGATGGAAAGACAAAAATCGCCGCGGCGCGTGCTCGCCAAGCGCCGCCGTCTCCTCTCTCTCTTATTAAGACAACCCTGACCGCGCCAACGGCTGGCTGGTGCCTGCGGTCTGGATGACAGCATCTCGATACGGATGTTGTCATCAGTCACAGACGTCGGCTGGCACTCCAACGATTGCAATGTCATGTCTGCTGACGCTATGATTTGTGGCCGGGGCACCATAGCGTGTCCAAATACCGTCGCGTGGCCAGGAAACCGTGGTCTGGCAGAGACACCGTGACCTGACCCAGACACCATGACCTGACCCAGACACCATGACCTGACCCTGACACCATGACCTGACCCAGACACCATGACCCGACCCTGACACCATGACCCGACCCAGACACCATGACCCGACCCAGACACCATGACCTGACCCAGTCACCACGACCTGACCCAGACACCATGACCCGATCCTGACACCATGACGTGACCCAGACATCATGCCTTGACCCTGACATCATGACCTGACCCAGACACCATGACCTGACCCTGACATCTTGACCTGACCCAGACACCATGACCTGACCCAGACACCATGACCTGACCCTGACACCAGGGCCTCACCCAGACGTCATGACCTGAACCTGACACAATGACCTGACCCTGACACCATGACCTGACCCAGACACCTTGACCCGACCCAAACACCATGGTCTGACCCAGACATCGGGACCTGACCCGCCGTACCCGGTAATAGCGAATATGCAGCCTCATTCCTTATTGTGCCGAGAGTTTGGCGACAGTTTGCCTTCTCCTCGCACTGGATTGGATATGCGGCCCGATGAGACCCTTTTATCCTCGCACTGTTGGCCTCTGATACAGGAGCTGACGTTCTAATCTTCCACCTCTCCCAGGATCTGTACTGTTGTCTCCCGTGGAGCTTTAGCGGACTCCTGAGAGCCGCCTTTTCCATCTTCATGTGTGGTCGCTATCATTGGTGGTCCCCTAATGCACTCGTGAAGCTGTGTGGTACCCTCACTCGCCCACATTTCATCGATTCCAGCCTGATCACAATGTCTAGATAATAGCTACATTCCTGGCCATAATGAACTGACGTTCGTGGATCAGAAATCCGTCCAAGCTCTTCCTGTTCACGCTGCGCGTAGCCCTGCGCTGGCATTGAGCTCGGCTGAAGCGCCCAACCCATTTTCACATCTGGCACATCCTATTCCTGGATGTTATCGGCTTGCTGTTGATGAGAGGATGTGCGTGCCAATTCGTCCCGCACGGCCGCACCGTCTTGGGCGGCGTATCTGCTCGACCAGTGAGTTAGGAAGGGTGGCTGACCGGTGCTAATGTGTGACGAGGAATAGGAAAGGACGCTCGCACCCCATTTGTCAGAGGCTTGAATTCAAGCCATCTCCTGCACCACAGCTGCGTGGTCACGTCCCGCCACGAACTGCTCGACCCATGCAGCAGTAAAACCGCGCCCAGTGCAACGGCTGCGTGACGACGGTGCGCCCCCGGTCGCCTTCAGTCGCCCTCAGTCGCCGCCGGTCGCCCTCAGTCGCCGCCGGTCGCCCTCAGTCGCCGCCGGTCGCTCTCGGTCGCCCCTGGTCGCCACCGGTCGCTCTCGGTCGCCTTCAGTCACCCTCAGTCGCCGCCGGTCGCCCTCAGTCGCCGCCTGTCGCCGCCGGTCGCCACCGGTTGCCCTCGGTCGCCGGTCGCTCTCGGTCGCCCTCGGTCGCGGCCGGTCGCTCTCGATCGCTCTCGGTGGCCGTTGGTCGCTCTTGGTCGCCGCCTGTCACTCTCGGTCGCCCCCGGTCGCCGCCTGTCGCTCTCGATCGCTTTCGGTCGCCGCCGGTCGCTCTCGGTAGCCCTCGGTCGCCGCCGGTCGCTCTCGATCGTTCTCGGTGGCCGTTGGTCGCCAGCGGTCGCCAGCGACTCTCAGCGGCGCGATCGGTCGGCGTCTGTCCGTGCCGCTAATGGAGCACCGTGTCAGTCGGCGGGCGGTACACGGTCGGAGGCGCCGCCGCCGCGGCCGCCCGCCCGCCCGCCCGCCGGCGGCCGGGACGCGCCGGGTCGGAGGAGACGGGCTGCCTGGGCCGGGGTGGGGCCGCCGCTGACGGCAGGGCACGTGACATGCGGAGAGGGGAGGGGGGGCTGCGGTGAGCCGCGAGGCTTGGCTCGTGCACCGTTTGGGATGGGGCGGCGCCAGACCTGTGCCTGGATCTGTCCGCCGCTCGCTGGCAGCTCTGATCGACGTGCGTGGTCGCTCGGCCGCGCCGGCCTGCCCGCCCGCGGCCCAGCGCCGGGACATCCATGTCTCACGATGTGTGCACGCGCCCGGCATGACAGGCCCGCCGTGCACGACGTCTGCCGTGCCCAGTCCATTAGGCCGCGGTCGGCCGGGCGCGGCGGTGTCGGCTTCCCGGCGTCACCTGCGCGGAACGCGAGGCTGACGCTTTGCCTCTCCGCCTCTCCCGCCGCCCCCGTCGCTCCGTGATCGGCAGCGCGGAGCTGCGACTCGGGTCATGCGCACGCGACGGAAGAAACTCGAACTGCAAGGCCGCGAGGCACCGCTCGGCAGGCCAACGCAGTGGCTGGGGTTTTCAGAAGCTGGGAGTGTTCGGCGGAGCGGCGCACGGAGGGATGATGGAAAAACTCGGGCCAGTCAATGAGACCAGCGGATCTTGCGGTCAACTTTCACGAGCGGCTGGGAACTTTGAAGGTCTGAGGTAATTGGAGCGGGTCGCAGATGCAGGAGACGAGTTAATGACGTCAGTTTTGCATTCGTCTGAGGATTGCTACGGCGGGCTGTAGCAATGTCACGAGCGTTACCTGAACTCGCGACGGCATACCACAGCTCTGGCCGTGTGCTAGCTGGAGATTCTGCCGCTCTGATGTTCCGCGCTGTGCGGCTTGAACAACACACGTAACACAACACACGTCACACAGCACGCGTCACACAACACACGTCACACAACGCACGTCACACAACACGCGTCACATGACACACGTCACACAACACGCATCACACAACACACGTCACACAACACATTACACAACACGCGTCACACAACACACAACACGCGGCACACAACACACGTCACACAACACACGTTACTTGCCCCGCGGCTCGCCGGTCCCTGAGCCAGTGACTTGTGTTGTGTTGACCGGTCCCTGAGCCAGCGACTTGTGTCGTGTTGACCGGTCCCCGAGCCAGTGAATTGTGTTGTGTTGACCTGTTGCTGCGCCAGTGACGTGTGTTGTGTTGGCCGGTCGCTGAGCCAGTGACGTGTGTTGTGTTGGCCGGCCGCTGAGCCAGTGACGTGTGTTGTATTGGCCGGCCGCCGAGCCAGTGACGTGTGATGTGTTGGCCGGCTGTTGGGCCAGCGATGTATGTTGCGTTGGCCGGCCGCTGAACCAGTGATGTATATCGTGTTGGCCGGCCGCTGAGCCAGTGATGTGTTTTGTGTTGGCCGGACGCTGAACCAGTGACGTGTGTTGTGTTGGCCGGCCGCTGAGCCAATGATGTATGTCGTGTTGGCCGGCCGCTGAGCTAGTAACGTCAGTCGTGTTCACTGACGTCCGACGCTGTTGCAGTCCCGGGACCCGTCGGAGGGCGACGGCGGCGAACGCACCACCCGGCGCCTGCTGGTTAAGGTGCTGAAGGCGGCCGGTCTGGGCGCCACCAAAGGTGAGAGGTCGGCCCACCATGGGTTCTGTTCGCGGGCCGGGCCCGCCGCGGCCGCACCTCGACTCTCCGGCCGGCAGGTCCCACAGCTGGTTGTTCTGCGTGTGGCGTGTCGGCTCTGGGAGGAACGGCGCGCGGTGTGCCATACCCAGCAGGAAACTGGCCAGCGGCAGTAGGCAGGGACAGTCGTACGCGACAGGGAACGGACTGCCGCGGTGTGCGGAACTGTCACACGCGACGGGGAGCGGACTGCTGCGGTGTGCGGGGACTGTCACACGCGACGGGGAGCGGACTGCTGCGGTGTGCGGGGACTGTCACACGCGACGGGGAGCGGACTGCTACGGTGTGCGGGGACTGTCACACGCGACGGGGAGCGGACTGCTGCGGTGTGCGGGGACTGTCACACGCGACGGGGAGCGGACTGCTACGGTGTGCGGGGACTGTCGCACGCGACGGGGAGCGGACTGCTACGGTGTGCGGGGACTGTCACACGCGACGGGGAGCGGAGTGCTGCGGTGTGCGGGGACTGTCACACGCGGCGGGGAGCGGACTGCTACGGTGTGCGGGGACTGTCACACGCGACGGGGAGCGGACTGCTGCGGTGTGCGGGGACTGTCGCACGCGACGGGGAGCGGACTGCTGCGGTGTGCGGGGACTGTCACACGCGACGGGAAGCGGACTGCTACGGTGTGCGGGGACTGTCGCACGCGACGGGGAACGGACTGCTGCAGTGTGCGGGGACTGTCGCACGCGACGGGGAGCGGACTGCTGCGGTGTGCGGGGACTGTCGCACGCGACGGGGAGCGGACTGCTGCGGTGTGCGGGGACTGTCGCACGCGACGGGGAGCGGACTGCTGCGGTGTGCGGGGACTGTCGCACGCAACGGGGAGCGGACTGCTGCGGTGTGCGGGGACTGTCGCACGCGACGGGGAACGGACTACTGCGCTGCACCTGTCCTTTCACATCAAACAACGCACGTGCTGCAGCGGCCCACACGGTCTGTCACACCGGGCGGGGTTGCCGAGCTGTAAGCTGTCGCTGCCGAATGCACGTGCAGGGTTGCACGGCCCGGCCGCCGGCGGTGAGTCAGCCCATCACGTCAGAGACTCCTCGACGGCGCACGGGATCTAAATCGGGGCGGGGCCGATCTGGCGGCCGGAATGCGGCGGCTCCCCTGTATCCAGCCGGCCGTCCGGGAGTGGCGCGTCCGTTAGACCTCCCGCTGGTTGACGCTGGTTCCGCCTACACGCTACACCGGACCTCCTGCCAGCCGTTAGACCCGCCGCTGGTCGACGCTGGTCCCGCCTACGCGGGACACCGGACATTCTGCTAGCCGTTAGACCCGCCACTGGTCAACGTTATTCCCGCCTACACTCGACGCCGGACCTCCTGCCAGCCGTTAGATCCGCCGCTGGTCGGCGTTATTCCCGCCGTCATGCAACACCAGACCTCCTGCCAGCCGTTAGACCCGCCGCTGGTCGCTGTTAGTCCCGCCCACACCCGGCACCGGGCCTCCTAACAGGCTTGAAACCTCCGGGCGTGTGATGGCATGTTTGTGGGACCAGACGTTAGACCTTACTGTGGATATGATACCACCATGTTCTCGGCGTTGACCTCATGCCATTAGACATCCCGCACTCGGATGCACGGACTCCTTGCAGCTAACGGTGGACGTCCCTATAGAAGCCGTGCGACCTTTTTGTACCCGGTGTTAGGTCTCCCTGTAGCCGGCGGGAGGCTTCTCGCACCAGACGTGACATCTCTCGGCACCGGACGTCACATCTCCCCGTACGAGACGTCATATCTTTGCACACCAGACATCCCATCTCCCCGCACCAGACGTCACATCTCCCCACACCACATGCGACATCTTCCCACACCTGAAATCACGTCTCCTCGGACCAGACGTCACATCTCTCGGCACCAAAAGTCACATGTCCCCACATCGGCGTTACATCTCCCCACATCGACGTTACATCTCCCCACACCAGATCGCACATCTCCCCACCACATCTTCCCACATCGGTGTTACATCCCCCCCAGCCAGATCACACATCTCCCCACCGCATCTCTTCGCATCAGATGTCATACACCGCCACACATGAAGTCGCATCTCCCCACACCAGATGTCACATCTTCCACCACGTCTCGTACGTCACATCTCTTCACACTAGACGTCAGAGCTGCCTTCCCCGTGCGTCCGCGCCGTGTCGGCCGTTGGACGGCGCCCTGGAGACGGCCGGCTCCTCCCAGCCCCATCGATCGTCGTGCCGCAGTTAGCCGCAGCACGGCTGACCTCTTCCGGGTGTGGAGGCGCCGCGGCCGCGACATTCGCGGCCCGCGGCGGTCAAGCGGCCGACGGGCCCCCGGGGGGGGGGGGGGGAGGGGGGCTCCCGCCGCGGGGTGTCAGCCGACCGGCATACAGCTGGGCGGGGAGGGGGGGGGGGGAGCTGGGCGAAATAAGGCGACGGACCCATGGTCGGTGATGGCGCGTGGTACTGTTGCCTGCTGTCACGTGCCTAATTTGTACGTCTTTCGGAAAACATTTGAAGACTTTCCACTGTTCTAGAGTGATGCAGGTAATTCCTTGATATCTTTCACCTTAACGTTGAGCGGTATTAGGTTCCCTATTAGCGCCGGGTATTAAGTGTGCGAAGCACAGATGGTGATGCGACGCTCAGTAATGACGGTTACAGCGTCCTCTTCATTTTCGCGTTACGAAAACAACGCCAGCTGCCATGTTGGGTCTGCTCACTTCCGCTGATGCTAAACGATTCAGAATGACCCGACGCGCTGCGGCTGAAAGCGAGTGGCCAAATAAGGAACACTGTGGCGTGGCTGTGTACTGTAGGCAAAAGCCTGCTGGCGCTTCGAGCTCCCGACCGTCTCCAGCGCCTGACCATGAGCTCGATGACTGAAACGTGTCGTTTGCTTTGGTTGCGTCGAGATCTCCGACCTGGCCCAAGGGATAGTGCGTCACCGAGAAGGCTAATGTGTTTAAGTGTGCCAATGGCCCGGAATTGAAGCAAAAAACGACACATGTTATGGATGGGGCGGACACTGTTGAATCACCATCGGCTTCACGAAACACCGCGTAAAGGAGCAGGTTGCTTTGAGTGGTGACGTCATTGACCGTTGTTTGGCCGCACCACACCCGTAAATCGCCGCTTGGCTCTAGGGGGAGCAAAACAAACAGCGTGTGTACTGGTCCACGTGACCATTTTGGTAGGTGTATCAGAATTATCGGCCAGATGTGCTGCTGCGGAAACTCAAGTGTGAAACTGTTGCGAGGTGTCCCCTCTCGCTGCCTCTCCTCCGTTCCGTTTGTTTCTCAGTCCCCGCTCCCCTCTCCCCTCAACCTTCATACCCCCCCCCCCTCTCTGCATATATCGCGAAACCTGTACCTCACCGTCGTTGGTGTAGTGGCCTAGATCAGTGCGTAGGTCTTCCACATCGTTGTGTTTCCTGTTGTGGGTGCGCTTCCCGTAAATTAGTCTCCTCGGTACTGAGTTGAGCCAAAATAGTTAAGTTACGGGCAAGGTCGTGGGTCGAGCGGGTCTAAACGTCAACTGACAGGAACTTATGGGGCTTCAGCGTCCCGGACCGGCCAGTTACGCTTTTTACAGGTTGCGTCTCTGTGTAAGGCCTCGCCAACCAGGCAGGCAAAGTCCAGCTGCTTTGTGATCGCGAACGTACTGTCTACGCGTCTTAAAGTGACCCCGGCACTGTGACTCATAGGTGTGCTAGTTCTTGACCGGGGACTACCAGTCTCAGGTCCCGAATGCGACACTGGACAAATCTGATATTGCCACGTAAAAGCCACACTGAGTGTAGCCCTGTTCGTGGGGGCTAATATGCTCCCAAAATCTTTGCGTTTTCCCAAACTTTTTCACAGTCACCGAGAACGTAAACAATGCCTATTTTGCCGATATTCCGGCCTCGCATTGCCAGGCGTTGTCAGCTCCAATGCCAGCCATCATGCGAGCATTGCCATATGTGACTTTGTGCGCGTGTGCCGAACATCAGTGCACACTTGCTTGCTATCTTTTCAAAGGGGAACATTCCGGTGCAGTGGTGGGACCCATTCGTATGAGTTCCCAAAAGGTGGCGTTCTCTCTTGGTTGCGTCTGAGTATCATCTATAAGGTGATATCACTCACGGTTATAGTCACCCCGTTAAGGCCCGTCGCGAAAAATATCTTACTGGCTTGCATATGAATTGCTATGATTAAGAGCCTGCCCGAGGTCGGTGAAACGTTCGCATGCACTGAATGGTCACGTGTTCAGTTAGGGTAGTAACGCTTGACATGCTCTGGTTTAGTGTCTTCCTATTCGCTCCACCGTTTGTAGTCCGAGTTACTGCGACCAATCGGAGGTCGAAACCAATTACTTAAGACGGAGCCGTTTCTCTGAAAGAAAATCGCCGTGCCCGAAGACACATCAGTCTGGCTTCTTAATATTAGTGCTGAGCGTAAAGCTATTTTGCTAGCTTTTCATTCGTAATGATGGGAAATTGATATGCTAAGGAAATATGCCGTGTCCCACACGTGAAGGCAATTTGAGCGTTTGCTCTGCACTGTTCCACCTGTCTGGCCTCAGTTCACACCCGCGGTCCGTGGATATCCACTGGCTCCGTCAGCCTCACACGAGCTCTGTGCTTCTAGCTCATTCCGCTGAAGAACGCGCCCACGTTTGTGCATACATAGTCAGGAGCTCAGAGTGTTAGGTAACAGGCTCTCCTCCAGATTGGCGTAGCTGGTGCCTTGACCTTTGCCTTCGACCGCCCCTGAACTTTCACGGTTGGTCGATGGTGCAGATCTGCAGGTTTTCTTAAACCTGCAAGCGTTCGCTACTCTGTGGCGGTCTGCGTTCTGCGATACTGTAAGGACAGGCCGCACGTCCTTGAGCTAACCCGAGCGCGCGTCTGAACCGGCCTGACCTGGATGATTTTCGGTACTGCCCTGACCCGGCCGTACCTCCACACTGCCCTGACTCGGGTGTACCTCGGACCTCTCCTGACCCGGGGTACCTCAGTACCGCTTTGACCCGGATGTACCACGGTACTGGTCCCGTCTGATGGCCGCCCGGGCACCCGTGTTTCAGGCTGCAAGGAACCGTACTGCGTGGTGGAGATGGATGAGCCGGCCCAGAAGTTCCAGACGGAGACCCGACTCGACACAGACCACCCGTTCTGGGACGAGGCGTTCATCTTGTGAGTGCCGCTCGGCGACCGGCCGCCATAGACAGCCGAATGCCGAGGTCAGGTTTTTACTTGGAGCATATTGCCACCTCGCCATATATTTCCGCTGTAGTCAGCGCCATACAGCGCCCGAAGTTCGCCGATAGTGCGGCCGTGTTTTTGCGTGCCGCCGACCGCTGACTCCCCGCACTGTCGTGGCTGTGCGCCGCGCAGAGGCTGCCGTTCTAGTCCATATACAGCGGGCAGGCGCCTCCCCGTGTCAGCCGTTCTGGTAGCCTGGCCTGGCCGCGTGCGGTGATGCGGCCGGCCACGGCGTATGCCCCAGGTGCCGGCCGCCCCGCCCGGCCCAGCCCAGCCCAGCCCAACCCAGGCCAGCCGGCCGACGCACCTGTTTGTTATCGTAACCGGGCTGAGTCGGCTGACGGGTGCTGGCACGGACGACCGGCCGGGGCCGCCCGCCCCGTGACCGTCCGTCCGTCTGTTCTTCGGTTCGTCCGTCTGTTCTTCCGTCCGTCTGTCTGTTCTTCCGTCCGTTTTTCCGTCCGTCCGTTGGTTCTTCCGTCCGTCCGTCTGTCCGTCCGTCCGTCCGTTCTTACGTTCATCTGTCCGTTCTTCCGTCCGTTCTTCCGTCCATCCGTTCGTTGGTTCTTCCGTCCGTCCGTCCGTTCTTCCATCCGTCCGTCCGTTCTTACGTCCATCTGTCCGTTCTTCCGTCCGTCCGTCCGTCTATTCTTCCGTCTGTTTGTCCGCGGGCCGCTGTCCTATTGTGCTGGTCGCCGCCAGGCCACAAACAGGACCCCCTCCCCTTCTCTCTGCACATTCTCTCCCAAAGCTATTATTGTTACGGGCTTTCGCTGCCGGGTTCGGCCAATGCGTTGCTGTCGAAGACGTCTGCTGAATCCGGATTTCGTAGCTGGGCACAGCGTCAGGTGCAGACGTCACTGTGCTTCTGCTCACGCCGTGGCAGGCACGTACTTCCCTAGTAGCGCCCGATGTGCTGTTATTCGTCCGTCTGCCACGGGCAGCGATAGCTCACCAGTACTGTCTGTCGTCCGACACGCTCCCTTCTCATGTAAGCGGCCACGTCCCGGCTGTCTTCACGTGCCGACGCGGCGGGGCGTCCACGCTTCCAGATGGTCCTCATGATTTGGTGCTCACGCGCCCGGCGGGTAGGCTGGCGCTGGTCGTGCTCCCGCAAAACTCATCCGGGACGGGATTATGCGATGACCTTGTAAACGCATATGCAGGAAACTGTTGGTCGGCCTATAGCGTGTCATCTTCCCGACAGTTCCGGCCGTTTGTATGATCTGCTGCTGCATGGCTTCGTCATCAAGCCCCTCCTTCCTAATATGCCGCTGCCGCGGGCGTGGGCGCGGTCGACCTATCTTTCTCGTCCGTCCATGCGCCGCCGGGCGTGCATTATTTTTGTTTAATCGGAAGGCGGCGGTCTGCGGATGGCTGCGGGGGTGCGACCGCCTGGCGTTAGAATTACTCCCCTCCGAACTTTTGGAATAACTTCTGAACTTTGGGCGGCCTGCCGCCAACGTTTTGGGAGCTGTCGATCAATTCAGCGCGTTTTCCCGAAAACAGCCTCAGTGCCGGGTGAAGTCACCGATATTAACGGCGTTTGCAAAGTGCGTAGCGTCGCGACGCGCCTCTAAAGACATCTTCAAGCATCTTCTTTGTTTTTTATCGCCACGTATAGATTTTGGTATGATACAACGACTGACCTGACCTTGTGCCAGTCAATCAACCACATGACTGAAGGGCACATCGATTCATGAACAGAGGTCATGCAAGACTAGTGTCAGGCTCAGAACCCAATTAATTAATGGTGTCCAACTGTGGTAAATCGGTCAGTAAATATAAAACGTTTCCCATGCCAGTGATAAGTGGTTAGATTGTCGTGGACCTTAGCTCTTGTGACGGAAGAATAAAGGCACGCTGACGAACTTATCTGGCTAGACTTTTGGTCGGAATTGATGTGCCCAGCTTCCTTCAATGACTTTACACATTGTGGTATGTTTTTATTCGTGTGTTGCTTTTACTTACATGGAAAGCACAGTGATCCACTTGGTGCTGGTTTCAAAGCCACAACATTATAACGGGTGCCACAGGTTGGAAGATTTACCACGCGCTCGGTTGGGAGTCAAATTGACCCCCCTGAAGGTTTTCCCAGCATGATTTCCGAACGGCGTGGCGTAACCGCACCCAACTTTGCACAGCTGTAGAGAACTAAATAGCGGATCTTTTGATGGAAAAATTAGATGTACCTTGTGGGGTCGCTGAACTATGGCCGGTGAAAGTCAGGCCACGGCTGCAAGCGAAGGGAATTTATATTGAATCGTTCAGTGTGATGTTAGAACGGTGTGTTGGACGAAGCCGTGCACATCTGAGATAGTTTTTTAGGCAATAAATCAAGTATCATACCGATTTATCATTGCGACCCATTCCATTGACCTTGTGTCAGGCATGAAAGTCAGACCGAGTTTAAAACTAACCTGCGTTTTAACCTCATTCTTGTTTTATTGGGCAGTTTTTGGTGCTCATTTCAAATTTATTAATAACATGGACCGCGACAGACATTTTTTAACTTCTGAACACGCGCCCGGGTGGTCGGCTAGATACCATTCGCTCGGGTGGGGGTCAATTTGACCCCCTGAGATATCGTAAACTAAGAGAGCTAGAGACACCAAATTTACAGAGTGTGTTGACCGGCATGTGAACTCACTTAGGTCAAGGTTTCAGGTTCCTAGGTAATGATGTTTGGGTCAACAAAGGTCAAACTAGGTCAAGTTCCGGGTTGGTCTCCAAAATGCCTCTCGAACCTAGATAGCCGTTTCTAAGCAAAAGGTCACATTCTCATGTAAGGTTAGTGACTTTGTTTGACCTTTTAAAGGTCAAGGCGACCAAAATCATACAAGATTGCTCCGAGTTTGGCATTTGACTAAGCAACAAAGATCACGTTAGGCAGTATGTTCCTAAAACAAAATGTTGACCTGGGTTATTTTAGGCTAATAACCTGTTCTGACTTCTAAGAAGTCCATGGAAGATATATAATGCGGTTCCTGCTGTCAATAAGTTCGAAATGAGCACCAGAAATTATCCCATACAGTAAGCCCTGGAGCAACAAAAAAGGTTGGTTTTGACCTTGGTGTGACCTTCACATCTGACCTTAGGTAAATGTAATGTGTTCATTCAACTGTTGTGTTGGCTAAGAAAGCATCTCAGAGATGTATGGCTTCGTCTAACACTCCGTTGTTGGATCAGATTGAAGGATCCCCTAGAAATTGCCTTCGCTGAAACCATGGCCTGACTTTGACCTGCCATAGGTCAGCGACTTTACAATGTGCATATAAATTTGTTATGCCAAACGATCTGTTGTTCATTTGTCTACAGCCATCAAAATTTGTCGCGGCTGCGCCGCGCCGTTCGGAAACCATTGTGGAAAAAGCTTCGGGGGGGGGGGGTCAATTTGACCCCACCCGAGCGCCTGTTAAAGGTGAGACAAGGTCACTGCCCTAAAGTGACCCAGGTCAACATCTTGTTTTAGGGGCATATCGCCCATTGTAATCCCTGACGACTAGTTGAATGGTAAAATAGGAGCAATCTCGCAGGTATTGATCACCTTGACCTTATAAATGTTAAACAAGGTCACTGGTCTCATAGGCATTTTGCTTAGAATAGGTGTCTAGCTTCACGGAAGTTGCATGAGGAGGTCTGACGGCAAGTGAGGCACCGATATATATTTTTCCTTGGTTGACCTTATTTGACTATAAGGTCATGACCTAGGAACCTCAAATTCTGACAAGTGAGTGCACGTACAGTCCAATCTACCATGTAAATTTGTTGTCCCCAGTTCTCTCAATTGCTGAAATCTCGAGGGGTCAAACTGGCCTCTCCCCGCCTCAGCCATGGGTATTCAACCGGCCATCTGGGCACGTGTTAAAGATATTTTATGCGACTGATGACGTCATTGGCCAAGAAACGTAGATCGGACCAATGGTTCGGGAAAAGCAGCGGCAGGGCGATCAATATCCGTTTGAATTGGCTTGATCTGCCGATTTGATTGTGATGGGCTGGATGTTGCAACTTGTATAATGGTTTGAAAGATGTGAAGGAGTTAAATGTTGGACATTACTAATGCCATTGGCCTTTGCACGTGTCTTTGTTATGTCAAATCATCTCAAATCTTGAAATCGCCGTGAAATTAGTCCACAAAGCTGCCATATCATGAACCAAGCGTCGAGGGTCGAGGTTATGGGGGTGAAGGTCAGAAAAGGCCGTGAAACGACCTCAGGTGACGTATCAGCACTCTTACTCATCGAATTTAGTGTTATCATGTCTTGCCTTGAGCCAGGCTTGCTGTGTGGCCATATGATAACCACGACGAGACATGTTATGTGATCTCTGACCCCGTATTTTTACCCCAGTGACACTTCACCGTGCGAGGTAACTGAATGGGCCTCGAATAATAGCGGTTGGTCACGCGCGAGGCTGCTGCTCCACGTTGTTTTTATATGCCCCACTCAGCACATTGAATGTGAAATGGGCTAGCACCGTACCCCCTCGTCCCCCCCCCTCCCCACGTTGCGGACCGTGGGACCAGGATGAACCTGCTGCACCCGAAGCTCGACCTCGCACATTATCTGGGACATTGGTGTACCGGTGCTTTGGCAGGACAGTAACCTTAAGTTTACTTAAAGTTGCTCTGATAAAGTGCACTGTTCTCGTTCATGCGCGAGCCTGTCGTCCGTGGTCACTGTGTGTGCGCTCATCAACTTACGGTGCTCTTGTCCATTCCCGTATTGTTTTTCGTGCGTGTGTGTGTATTCCCGTTGTGGCGTGCGTGCAGGCCGCCATTCTGACAGTGGCTGGGCTGTTCGAACGGAGCCGACCGTTCCGTGTGCTCCACGCGTCCCACCGTTGTGACCGGCGCGCGCTCCCCCAGCGACCTGTCCCCCCAACACGGGCGAGCTGCTGTTCGAGGTGTTCGACAAGCAGAAGCCGCGCGACACCAACTTCCTGGGCCTGGGCATCGTCGGCATCGAGGAGCTGCTGATCAACCCGAGTCAGCGACAGATCATCCCGCTGCTGTCGCGGCCTTACGAGGAGGACCCGGTGTCGGGCTCGCTCACGGTCGAGGTACGCTCCCCGGGCTGATGGGGCGGCTGCGGCGCACCAGGACCAGGCGCCGGAGACGGCCGTGGTTTCGAGGCAGTGGTTTCGAGGCAGTGGCTTAGCCGAAGTGATCGGGTACCTGTCGGGTGCAGGTGTCAGTGCTGGACTTGCATTGCAGTCGTCTTCGTTTTCACCGACGCTCCTGTTTTGGTGTTCAGAAATGCCGCTCGCTGTTGGTGCGGTGCGTTGTCCAAAACCCCACTGCGACAAATACGTGAAGCGTACCATAGCGACAAATAGGTTGATAACGACTAAAAGTCTGGACGAATCCCGTGAAGGTTCGATATCTCAAACAATACGACCGATAATTGTATTTGTAAGCGCACTCCTCGTGTTGACCATGTATCTCGGACCTGCACGCTTGGGGCGCCGGCCGCACGGCTGCATCACAGTGTCGTGACGGCGGCGCGACGCGCGCTGTGCTGCAGTTTCTGTTCGTGGACGAGGATGGCTCGCCAGTAGAGGAGGGGGCTCTGCCGCACCGCGTGACGCAGACCTCCGAGCGCCTGCTGACCTCCGGCGAGGTGCTGCAGACCACGCGCACCACCTACACGCGGCCGCAGGGTGAGTGGACCGGCTGCACTCCCTGCAGAAGTGGGTGGACCGGCTGCACTCCCTGCAGGGGTGAATGGACCGGCTGCACTCCCTGCGGGGGTGAATGGACCGGCTGCACTCCCTGCAGGGGTGAGTGGACCGGCTGCACTTCCTTCGGGGGTGAGTGGACCGGCTGCACCGCCCGCGGGGGTTGAGTGGAACGGCACCAGCTCGAGACGTGGGGAGACCCACACGGCACCTCGGGTAGCTTGAGAGATCCACACAGCGCTACGTTTCAGCGGGTCTCATTAGGTCGCGTGTGATGAGCTTGAGTTGTGGAATGGCGGACACGAACCCCACGCCCGGCCCGGGAAGGTTCGAGCGGATCAGACGCCCCATCCTAGGCGTTAAATAGACCCACGTGCTACACCCATGGAGTGTAAGTAGACCCAACACTATACATATACCTGGAGGGGGTAGGTAGACCCACGCACTACACCCCTGTGGTGTGGGCGGACCCATGCAGTACGCCCCTGTGTTGTGAGCGGACCCGTGCAGTACGCCCCTGTGGTGTGGGTGAACCCAGCGCTACACCCACCTGGAGGGGACTCATTACCTCTGGCCATGCTCCCTGCTGACAGTCGCCAACATTATCCGTGTTAGTGGGCTAGCCGTGCACCGCCGTGCTCTGATGCAGCCCGGCCGGCCGCTGGACTACAGCGTGTTCAGACTTTCCAGATTTTTGTCTGTGCTGCATTATGATGGGCTCTACCAGGAGCTGTGCGACGAGTGTTAGTGGTCAGGTTGTGAACATACATGAGGTGAACTGTAACACTCGTGCCCGAAATGTTTGAATGCCGATCCTGCCATGTCATTTCTTGCTGTGGAATACATGAGCCTGGACGCAGTAACAACAGCCTAGGGTCAGGCCTGGGGCTCGTGTTCGAAGTCGCGGCGGCTGTTGGTGCGCAGCTCAGAGACTGATGTTTATAATGACCGTATCATTTGATGTTGATGTTTGGTGGTGCACATGTTGATGGGGGTCCTGCCTTGGCGGCGACGCTTGGTGTAGCGCGTCCACTTTCGCTGACTCGCCCCTTTCTGGGGCACCCTCGCAGATGATGACGACGGCCGCTTCGTCAAGAGCATGGCGCTCAAGGACGTGGACTCTAAGGCTCGCCCGAACGCCAAGAAGAGCACGCTCATCATTCACAGCTCGAAGAAGGTGAGCGGGCGACGCCGGGCCCGGCGGCGCTGGGCCGGCCGCCGCGCTGCCTCCCGAGTCTCTCTTGCTCGCTGCGTGTATGTGTGGTCGTGCTCTGTCCCCGGCGGCATGCGTTGTGGTGTGCTGCCTTTGGCAGAGCCGTGGAGTAACTCTCGGCCGACCGGGTCGCCACAAGGCGCGATGGTGTTGGTCTAATGTGTTGGTAAAGAACGATGGGAGCTGAAAGGTGCGCGTCATGGCTACATTTTAGGTCAGAATTTAGGGCAAAATCGAGTTTGTAACTTCCCTTCCGTGTTCTTTCGGTCTTGTTCTGACATTCGCCGTGCGGCGTGTCTCAGCACTGACTAGCGTCATTCCCTGAGCAATGCGACTGGACAGCTGCCACACTACGTAAACTTTCCGCCCCTCTCTGCATGACATTACTAACGCCTGCCATGTAGTTGTACGGCCGTTTCTGTGGTGCACCGGCCGGACACTGTCTGGACACTGTCTGGACACTGTCTGGACACTGTCCAGCGGCCGCCGCGAGCCGGGCGGCGCCATGACGTGCCGTGACCGGCGGCCGGCCGCACGCGGCGCCGGCACGCGCCGGCCGTGCGGTGCGTGCCGGCCGGCCGTGGCGGCGCCGGCCGCGCGTGACACTAACGCCCCTCCTCCGCCGCTCTGCCCGCCCCGTCGCTCTGCCGCCGCGCTCCATCTGCCAGGAGAACGTGGACCTGCCGTCTGTGAAGGTGAGCTGGCCTGACCTGACCTGATCGGGTCTGACCTGACCTGACCTGACCTGGGTAGACCCGACTGCCTGCCACCCGCTCCGGGTCACAAGGAATTTTCGGGCTCCCCTGCCCCATTACACAATATTTTTACACCATGTGAGAGGGTTCTGAACTGCGAGGGTCCACTGCCCCTACGGCAGTGAATAATAACGCAGGACCTTTACTGATGGTGTCGTCGTGTCGTCAGTGTCCTATACCTGCTTTCCCTGCTTTTTAAGGCGTATGTGGGCAATTGATGGAGTGTTTTGTCATTGAATCGCTGTAAGGTGATTGACCCCGTGATTGTGCATTGTGCTACGAGCCGCCATGTTCGCTTACCCCGTTTCGACTTACATGACACTGCTCTCACACCCCGGTACGTCGCTCTTGTGTTGCTTTCTCAATAACGTCTCCTAAAAGTAAGCACGGGTCGCTTAAAAGCGTAGACGGCAAGTGGTAGTCTGGCCAGAATTTCTAAACACTCTAAAATGCGTTTACATTCCATTGCACGAGGACCTGGCATATCTGGTAAACTGACCTAGAAGGCGCTTGGCGTGTGAGCGTTGGCGCGCTGCCGCCCCACACAGCCGGGAGCCCGGCCGGTCCCGAACTAGCGCGGCGGCATGCGCCTTTAGCGGTCCAGCCGTGTCGCTGCCCGCTCGCCCTGCGGCGCTGCAGGCTGTGGCTGTGGCTGCTGCTGGCTGTGGCTGTCGTCCCGAGGCCTGGCCGTCGCTGTCCCGCCGCTGGTCACCGAGCTGACCCTGGTCCGATGTTGGCTGCACCGCCGGGCTCCGACCGCTCTGGCCACCCTCCTGGCTCTGTCCTCACCCGAGTCATCCCCGTGATGGCGGCCGAGCGTCCTCCGTCGCCTCGTGACTCTCCCCGCCGTCGGTCCCGTGACCTCTCGGCGGTGCGGGACCGAGTCGTCCTCGCGATGCTGGCTGCGCTCCCTCCGTCGCCCCCCCCCCCCCCCCCCCTCCCATCTCCCCTCCCGGTCCCGCGACTCCTCCCGGTAGTGCAGGCCACTCTAGCACGGATCGCACTCCTCCGTCGAGAACCGGCCGCGGCAGTAGGGAGACCGCCCCCCCCCCCCCCCCCCCACGCTGACTGCCCTGCCGCCGATAGAGCGATCCCCAGTCTGTGCTCCGCCGCCGCGCCGCCCGCATCGCTTCATCATAGCTTCTTTTTTATAGGTTCAGCGCAATAACGACGGCCTGTGGGTCGAAGTGCCGGCCAAGGTTTGTACGTTTTGTTTTGGGCGCCGCCTCCTCGCCAGACCGCTTGTTTCTCGGTGTCGGCCGGCGCTCGGTGTGCGGTCGCTGCTTTCGGGAGGGAGGCTCCCCCTGGGGCTCTGCTGGCGGCGGAGGTGGGAAAGCATGCGATCTCCCCCAGCCGCGGCGCCGCTCGCCCCGCGCTGCTCGCCCCGCGCTGTTTGCCCCTGGCACCGCCACTGGTCGCACCGCGCGTTCTCATCACGTGGCTGCTCCTCACACGGGTCCGCTTACACTCGCACCGAATGGTCTTCTCATCGGGTGCTGGCATACAAGAGTTGTAACAACTCTCGTATGCCAGCAGTTGCCAACACAAGGCTAACAGTTGGCCTTGCAGGAGCTCCGACTGATGATGTTCGCCTTCGCTCCTGGTGGCCTGGCGAGATGCTTCTCTCACGCTCGGTCGTCGAACGATCTCTGCATTATTCCCACCATGTGGATGCTGGTGGTCACGAGTAGCGTTCTCACAGGTTGCTCTCGTCAGCAGTACAGGACGCTCTTATCACGCACTGCCTGCTCAGCCAGCACAGATTTGAAGTGGCTTGGATTCCGTGCGTGGCGTTCGGTGCTGTGTGCCGTGTACAATGTGCTACCTTCAGGGGCTCTGCAGCTCACGATGCTGTCCAGGAAGGAGCGCGGCTGTTGGGTGGTGCCGGTGGCGGTGGTGGTAGCGTAGCGGTCCCTGCGGAGGTGGCGATGGTCACTCAGTGACTCTGGACTGGTAGTAACGGGCTGCCACCTCGGACGTGTTGATGACGAGCTGGGTTTTGGTGGTGGGCAGCAGGCATGCCTCAACGAACGGGGCTCGTGCTTTTAATGCATCGGTGGTCGATGGTGCGAAGGTCGTAGCTGACTTTCGAACGTATGAACGCAGCTCACCCTACGTAGCAGTGTGCGTCGCATGACTGTGGACATTCAGTTGCGGTGTTGTTTTTCTCGAAACGTTATTGCGTTGTTTGCTGCTAAAATGTCCCGTGTGTGACGCATTCCTTATGCGTTGATATTGCGTTGACTGAGACGACGTGCTTGGAATCCTTAATTCTTCGGCGAAGACTTGTGCACAAAATCGCAGTCTGGGCGTTACAACGAAATAGTACTAAACTAGAATAATAGAAAATGCCGTGGAATTGATGTATGACGTCAATCAGTTGTGACCAATTGTTAGCCACTGATGTCTCGCACGGCACTGCCCGAGCGAGGAATCGCCATGGGGCGCTTGCTCCTCGTTGCCCTCATACTTACGTGTGTAGCGGCCTCTTCCTAACCCACTTACCACCGCGGGTGGGTCAATGGCTCATCACATACTCCCGCGTCCCGTGTTACCGGCGATTGCATCCGCTGTAACCATCTGCGCGCCCCTCCCTGAGCGATCCTGGCGTATGATGACCCACGTCCGTGTCGTTGCAGGACAACTTGGACGACTCCATTCAGACGTCGGAGGCAGGCTCAGACGTGCAGGAGGCAGGCAGAAGCGGCCACTCCCCGTCGTCCGGTACGACAGGCGTCACGTGTTCCGTCGCTGGCCAGCCGGCCAGTGTCGCGTGTTTGCGTGTCCGGGTGCTGCGGTCTTGCCGCGGCAGCGGTGGGGTCGCTCCACATGTGTTGCAGTGTGTTTGTTCGTGTCTGAAACTGCGCGACTGCGGTCTTGATCTCCTCTTGGCTGTGCTCCTGCGAGGGAAGGCTCGCCGCAGCGTGTCACATCGCAGTGCGGTCTGCAGGTGTGCTTATGAAGCGCTGTCTCTCAAACTCTGACTTATCTGCCACGCGGCGGAACCGCCAAAACCCACCTTTGACTAACGGCGCTGCGGTGAGGCTCTTGGAGAGTCGGCCGATAAACCTTGTTGAAATATCCGTGCCACCGGGTAGCGCACCCCTGCGGGGCATGATCTTGGGGCAGACAGGTGCCTGGAGTAAACAAAAACACCAGGATTCGATCTGAGCATCCCAGACATAGAACCCTATGGGATCCGGGATCCATCGTCTGGATCCAGGCTATGTCTGCTTGGGAGGTCGCGTACGCTGTTCCAGTCAGTCTCAACACAGACCGCCCGGGCAGTTGCCTGCGGCCGGAGCTGTCCAGGGATCCCCGTCCCGTTGTGCCACGGCGCGTCTGCCAGCACGGCACGAGCTTGGCACTAACCCGGCGGTCTCCCGTCCCGTGACGTCATAGTACGCCGCGTCTGCCTGCACGGGACGAGCCTGGCACTGACCCGGCAGCCTCCCGTCCGTGACGTCACAGTACGCCGCGTCTGCCTGCACGGGACGAGCCTGGCACTGACCCGGCAGCCTCCTGTTCTGTGACGTCACAGCACGCTGTGTCCGCTCGCAGGGGACGAGTCGAGCCGCGGCCGCAAGCGGGCCAAGAAGCGCTCCTTCTTCGGGTCGTTGCGCAAGCGGCTGAGCGGCAGCAAGTCGCGCAGCAAGTCGAGCGAGCCGGGACAGGGCCGGGACGACTGGGAGGACGACCCCGGCCGCAGCGCCAGCCTCGACCGGAGGCACTACCTCACCGTGCCACGCGCCGGTCAGTGTCACGCCTGCCCCAGCGCCAGCCTCGGCCGGAGGCACCACCTTACCGTGTCACGCGCCGGTCAGTGTCACACCTGCCCCACGGGACACTATCTTCACCGTGCCACGCGCCGGTCAGTGTCACGCCTGTCCCACGGGACGTTATCTCACCGTGTCACGCGCCGGTCAGTGTCACACCTGCCCCACGGGACACTATCTTCACCGTGCCACGCGCCGGTCAGTGTCACACCTGTCCCACGGGACGTTATCTCACCGTGTCACGCGCCGGCCAGTGTCACGCCTGTCCCACGGGACGTTATCTCACCGTGTCACGCGCCTGTCAGTCTCGCCCCTGTCCCACGGGACACTACCTTCACCGAGCCACGCGCCGGTCAGTGTCACACCTGCCCCACGGGACGTTATCTCACCGTGCCACGCGCCGATCAGTCTCACCCCTGTCCCACGGGACACTACCTTCACCGAGCCACGCGCCGGTCAGTGTCACCTGCCCCACGGGACACTATCTTCACCGTGCCACGCGCCTGTCAGTGTCACACCTGCCCCACGGGACGCTACCTCACCGTGCCACGCGCCGATCAGTCTCACCCCTGTCCCACGGGACACTACCTTCACCGTGCCACGCGCCTGTCAGTGTCACACCTGCCCCACGGGACACTATCTTCACCGTGCCACGCGCCGGTCAGTGTCACACCTGCCCCACGGGACGTTATCTCACCGTGTCACGCGCCGGTCAGTCTCACCCCTGTCCCACGGGACACTACCTTCACCGAGCCACGCGCCGGTCAGTGTCACACCTGCCCCACGGGACGCTACCTCACCGTGCCACGCGCCGATCAGTCTCACCCCTGTCCCACGGGACACTACCTTCACCGTGCCACGTGCCTGTCAGTGTCACACCTGCCCCACGGGACGCTACCTCACCGTGCCACGCGCCGGTCAGTGTCACACCTGCCCCACGGGACGCTACCTCACCGTGCCACGCGCCGATCAGTCTCACCCCTGTCCCACGGGACACTACCTTCACCGTGCCACGTGCCTGTCAGTGTCACACCTGCCCCACGGGACACTATCTTCACCGTGCCACGCGCCTGTCAGTGTCACACCTGCCCCACGGGACGCTACCTCACCGTGCCACGCGCCGATCAGTCTCACCCCTGCCCCACGGGACACTACCTTCACCGAGCCACGCGCCGGTCAGTGTCACACCTGCCCCACGGGACGTTATCTCACCGTGCCACGCGCCGATCAGTCTCACCCCTGTCCCACGGGACACTACCTTCACCGAGCCACGCGCCGGTCAGTGTCACCTGCCCCACGGGACACTATCTTCACCGTGCCACGCGCCGGTCAGTGTCACACCTGCCCCACGGGACGTTATCTCACCGTGTCACGCGCCGGTCAGTCTCACCCCTGTCCCACGGGACACTACCTTCACCGAGCCACGCGCCGGTCAGTGTCACACCTGCCCCACGGGACACTACCTTCACCGAGCCACGCGCCGGTCAGTCTCACCCCTGTCCCACGGGACACTACCTTCACCGAGCCACGCGCCGGTCAGTGTCACACCTGCCCCACGGGACGCTACCTCACCGTGTCACGCGCCGATCAGTCTCACCCCTGTCCCACGGGACACTACCTTCACCGTGCCACGCGCCTGTCAGTGTCACACCTGCCCCACGGGACGCTACATCTCCGTGTCACGCGTTGCTCGGTCTCACATCCCCAGACAGCTGGTTTTGTGTGTGCAAAACCGAAAGAAACCAACAAAATCGCATGCTTCGAACGTGGCATCAGAGCTGTTGGCAGGGTTATCGCTGGGTCGGACCTAACGTGGTCATGCTATTACTCGCATCAGCGTGATCGTATCTGCAGTATTTACAAGCGTGCCTGAGTTCGGATTGTGCCTGGGGACCCACGCAGATACATGTTCTCGTTAACGGGTGTGATCGGGTTTAGTTTTGCTTGCTTGCAAATCAGTACTGATTTGCTTGCAAAACAGTACTGACATGCTTGCAAATCAGTACTGATATGCTTGCGAATCAGCACTGATATGTTTGAAAATCAGTGCTGATACGAACTCACAACGTGACGTGTTGGCGCTGAACGGTGTGGCGACGTTGCCGATCGTTCCCAGCTGGGATTGATGGCTACGCGTGCTCCGTCTGCACGCGCCCGCAGCCCGCCCCTGTGTGTGTGCCCTGGGCAGAGAGACGCTCGAGCGGCTGCCGGCCGGCCGGCCGGCTGTCTGTGATTGGCGCGTATGGGCCGCCGCCGGCACTCACGCCCTGAGCCTTCAGCACCGCCAGCGTGTTGGGCCGCCTCTAACCCTGCCCTCCCTCGTGGCCGAGGGCGGGTCTCGCGCCCGCGCCCGTGTGAATCGCCTCTTGCGGCTCTAACCACTGGCCTGCCCGCTGCCTGCTTGCAACGGTGACCTGCTGACACTGGTGGCCTGCCGCTCGCGTGACCCGCTCACCCCGTGTGACCGCGCGTTTGGTGCTGTTTCAAGAGGGCGGCGCCGCGGACGTGTCTGCCGGCGCAGTCGATCCCTTCAGGCGGCCGCTGCCCGTCTCCTGTGAGTCGCCGTGCAGGCCGTGGCCAGCGTCCGAAAGCGATGGACAACTTACGCCCTTTTAGTGGTGTACTTACGCCCTTTTGGGGTGCACTGGTGGACAGCTTACGCCCTTTTAGTGGTGCACTGGTGGACAACTTACTCCCATGGTATAGACGCACCGTCTCTACTCTATGATATCAGCGAGTTTTCCTGTTAGTAATAACTTGCGCTTCGAAGTCTTAGGTCAAATTGGCCTGTTTCCGGCAGATTCCCTGGCAAAGTGTCATCTGGACGTGGCGCAACTTGTCGCTCCGTTTGATGGTACTCTCCGCTGGCCCGGCCCATGCCTGTCGTCGGTTGGGCAGCCCAGGGCACTGGGCAGTGGGCGGGCAGCTTGTGCACACCTGCGTTGCGGGCAGCGCGCTGCTGTAGCTGAGGAGCTTCTTTCGCAGGCTGTAGACGATAATATTTAGGGGTCAAATGAATGGTTATATTCATCGTACAATTGTGTTGGTCATGTAATTTTGCGATGCAAAATTGCGCAGTAGCGGTAATATTTGGCTCAAAAGTAGACGATAGCCTTAGACAGCAATGCAATTTTATAATTTAGGAATAGCTAGAACATAAAGGCAGTAGCGAAACTTCAAGAGGTTGAATGAGCGGCTCAGACAGCTGCCGTGCAATGATTAGACGGTACCTGGCCATTCATCAGCGGCAGCTCAGTGCAACGCAGAACGTTATGTTAACTATTGAGCCAGTTATTTGTTCAATTGTCTGTTGGGATAAATCCCTTTTGCTGTGCAATGAAGGGCTCATGTTGTTCCTGTGTGTACCAAATGCCGGCGTTTTGCTGGGGTTCGTGCCAGTCCGCGGCGCTCTCACCGCACACCGATCCGCACTGCCAAGCTTTGTCTGCCATGCCTCGCTTGTGCACATCACTAACACGCCAACGTGTGGACCGCCAGTGCTCCCGGGGGCGGGGGGTGCGGGATGGACAGACCTCCCCAGCCTCGCCTCGCCGGCGCGGGCCGACGGCCGGGCGGCCCGTGCCGGCGCGCTGGGCCGGCGGCGGGCCGGCCGCGGAGGGCTCGCTGACGGCACTCCTGTGTCGGTAGGCGCCGGCCGGCCCGGCGCGCCCGACGACAGCAGCCTCAGCGACATGTCCGGAATCAGCAACGCCTCCAACCGCACCTACATCAACGACGAGTCCACCCTGGTGCTGGAGACCACGGAGAACGGCATACTCAAGTAAGCCCGCCGCCGCCGCCGCCGCCGGCAGTTGGCCAGGTGTGCTCGAGCCGTACCAACTGGCACAAGCGGTATACGGGCGGGCTGCATCTGGATGTGCGCAGCAGGACTCGTGTGACGTGCGTGTGAAACTCGCTGCGCCATTGTGTACTGAACGTGGGGCCTGAGTTAAGCTATGAATAAATATGGACTTGAACTCTGCAGCATAATAGCGGGTTGTTCAGTTCTGTTGGCGCACTGCCGTTCAAACAGCCGTTAAGTCGTCGTCTTCCGCTCTCTCCGTAGACACTACTTAGTACCCAACAACATGGCCAAGAGGTCCAAGTGGAGGAAGAAGGGCTCCAAGCTGCACATTTACAACGAGCACGTGTTCGTGGCGAAGCATCTGCCCAGGTGAGGGTCTCCCTGCTGTGCTCTGCTCCGATGACGCTCCCGCTGGGGTGTTGGCCTGAGCGACGCTCTTGTTGTGCGCGTTATCCGCCTGCGGCCGTGCCGCTCGTGTGCCCCCGTGCTCCGCATGTGTCTCTGAGCCGGTGACCGTCGCCTGCCTCTCGTGTGCCTCTGAGCCGGCGACCGTCGCCTGCCGCTCGTGTGCCCCCGTGCTCCGCATGTGTCTCTGAGCCGGTGACCGTCGCCTGCCGCTCGTGCGCCCCTGTGCTCCGCATGTGTCTCTGAGCCGGTGACCATCGCCTGCCGCTCGTGCGCCCCTGTGCTCCGCATGTGTCTCTGAGCCGGTGACTGTCGCCTGCCGCTCGTGTGCCCCCGTGTTCCGCGTTTGTCTCTGAGCCGGTGACCGTCGCCTGTCGCTCTTGGCCTCCGTGCTCCGCGTGTGCCTCTGAGCCGGCGACCGTCGCCTGCCGCTCGTGTGCCCCCGCGTCCCGCGTGTGTCTCTGAGCCGGTGACCGTCGCCTGCCGCTCGTGTGTCCCCGTGTCCCACGTGTGCCTCTGAGCAGATGACCGTCGCCTGCCGCTCGTGTGCCGCCGTGTCCCGCGTGTGCCTCTGAATCGGCGACCGTCACCTGCCGCTCGTGTGCCGCCGTGTCCCGCGTGTGCCTCTGAGTCGGCGACCGTCACCTGCCGCTCGTGTGCCTCTGAGCCGGTGACCGTCGCCTGCCGCTCGTGTGCCTCTGAGCCAGTGACCGTCGTCTACCGCTCGTGTGCCGCCGTGTCCCGCGTGTGCCTCTGAGTCGGCGACCGTCACCTGCCGCTCGTGTGCCTCTGAGCCGGCGACCGTCACCTGCCGCTCGTGTGCCGCCGTGTCCCGCGTGTGCCTCTGAGTCGGCGACCGTCACCTGCCGCTCGTGTGCCTCTGAGCCGGCGACCGTCACCTGCCGCTCGTGTGCCGCCGTGTCCCGCGTTTGCCTCTGAGTCGGCGACCGTCACCTGCCGCTCGTGTGCCTCTGAGCCGGCGACTGTCGCCTGCCGCTCGTGTGCCGCCGTGCTCCGCGTGCGCCTCTGAGCCGGCGACCGTCGCCTGCCGCTCGTGTGCCCTCGTGTTCCGCGTGTGCCTCTGAGCCGGCGACCGTCGCCTGCCGCTCGTGCGCCCCTGTGCCCCTCGTGTGACTCTGAGTCGGTGACCGTCGCCTGCCGCTCGTGTGTCCCCGTGTCCCACGTGTGGCTCTGAGTCGGTGACCGTCGCCTGCCGCGGCCCGCTGATGGTGCCCGGCGACCAAGGCGTTGACCTCCCCCTCCGCTGCCTCGCCGTCAGCGCCCTCTGTTCGGTCTGCGAGAAGTCGCTACCACGCTGGCTGGGGAAGCAGGCGTACGAGTGCCGCGGCTGCCAGGTCAAGGTGCACAAGCAGTGCCACGTGCGCGTGGAGACGGTCTGTCCGGGCAGCACGGTACACACCATGGAGCTGTGAGTAACGCCGGCGGCGAGCGAGCGGCCGGCCGGCCGGCCGCTGTATTGGGAGGGACGGCCGCTGACATGATGACGCTGCCTGCATTCATGTTATATAGGAGTGAGGGGAGGCAAGGGGTTGGGTGGGGAGAGAGGCGTGACGTAATGTTCCTGCAGCCTCCGCCGCCGGTCGGTGCGCCCCGGCTGCAGCACACATATAAGCGGTGACGGGAAAGTCGTCTTCAAAGACACGCCGGCCGCGTTGGTTGCGTGGGTCTGTAATGCCGCATTTTCGTGTTACAGGGAATACCTGCAGACGTTGGATGACAAACGACAGCGAAATATGACCCGGTAAAGGGTTCGACTAGCGCCACAAAGCGTGGGACTCGGGAACTTCAACCTTGGCGCGTTCCGACAGATGGCGCCTGCCTATTAGTGGCTTGCTGAGAACGCAGGACCACAGGGCACGTTTGTTTTGCTACGCTTGTGTTTTGCGACTATTATATGTGTACTGTCGTAGGCCGTCACTTTTTCTGAGTGCTGCGAAGGTGCAGTGCGTATATCAACTTAATCATGAGATCTGCAGGTTGACAACACAAGGTTTATGGTGCAGTCGCGGGCGCAGCAAGTCGCCCTGTCTTCTCGATCTGTTGTTTTGGCCTTCTTCAGTGTGTGCCTTTGTTGTCCGCCGATGTAACCAAAGCGCGTGCTAGTGCTGAATCTCGTGGCACGCGAGGGAGGCCCTCTGGAGGCCGCCGGGCGCTGGCGGACGCGGTTGGTCGTGCCCTGCTCCGCCTTGTGCGCTAGCGCCCCCTGTATCCCTTAGAGCCACCCAGGTCTCTCTCTCTCTAACACAATGTGATATTACGTACTTAACGCTTGAGTACTGTGCAATGTTTACGTGCGGGAATCTCCAGCAGACAGCAGTGTGGACAATCTGGGCGGGTTGTGTTCTTTTTCTGCATCTTTTTTAGACATCGCTGGCTTTTGTAACGCTTCTGGGTATGCCGTCTATGAACCTTGGTGTGATGTATGGGTGGAAAGCTGTTCTGTCAACGAACTGTTTTTCTTAGTTCAGCTCCTGGCCGTCAGATGTCGGTGGCGGTGTCGCTGCCCCGTTAGGTGGTTGTGTCTCCCGCCCAGCTCTGTGCGACCCTGGCGGTCTGTAGGTGCCGCTCTGCGAAGCGCCCTCCCGCCCCCGCCTGCGCGGGCTCCGTGATAGGACTAGTCGCCGTCTGCCTCGCCTACGCGCCGTGCCGCCATAACTGCCCACGCGGCGCCGGCCTTATGTCTTCCGCCGCCAGAGGCTGCCGACCTCTCAGGTGCGTTCGCCCGGATGCCCGACGCCCCGTGCGCCTGTGCTTGTGGCGGGTCCCCGGGCGGGGTCGATTCGTCTCGCGCCAGGCGCCGCTGACACAGGTGGCGCGCCGCGGCGCGGGCGCCAGCCGCGCGCCGGAGCGACGCTGCAACGTTGTGCCGCCACCGTCTGGGCCAGCGCCCGGTATTTACCCGCCGCACTTCTCGGGCGGCCGGTCCGTCGTGACGCGTGCCCTTGGCCGGCCGCGATAGTCTGCTCTTTCCTGACATCGATGTGCCGGCTGGCAGTAGCTCCGTCGGCCGTCGGGGGCGGACAGGGCGACAGCGGCGCGGCCGGACACCGCCCGGCGGCCGGACTGTCCCGCGCCGTCCGCGTGTCGGCGGGTTCTGGACGGGCGGCCGCGCGCCGGCTGTCCAGCAGTATCGGCAGGCCTGCCGACCGCTGCGGCCGGCGGCGGCCGCGCCGCGCTGCCGGGGGACCGGTGCCGGGCGCTGCTATTGACAGGCGTGACCGAGCGCCGCCCTCCTGACGACGGCTCCGGAGGGACTGGCCGCCGGCGCGCGCGCGCGCTCGGCCGCTGACCGGTGCGGGGTCGGCGGCTCAGCTCTCGCCGCCGGACGGTGACCCGGGGTCGCGCCGGCGTCCGTGGTCTGGTGCTGGGGTGGAGTCACCAGGCTTGCGGCCGCCGCTCTGTGAGTGTGAACGGCGCGAAGGGAGGCGGCGAGCCCCACAGACCCCCCCCCCCCCCCATCAGGGGCGTGGCGTTGGTAAGAGTCGTCGCTCGGCGATAGGCCAGGCTTCCATTGCAAGCCGATCGCCCGTGGAAAAGCAATTAACCAACCGCCCTCCGGCTGCGTGTTTGCATTGTGCTATCTGCAGTGGCATAATCACTAAATGTTTATGGCGCGGTGTAGCGAGCAAGTGGTGCAATAGAATCGCTGCGAGACTGAGTCGTTTTCGTCGCTGCCGAAATGAGGCGGGCTTGTGGGTCGTGAGCACAGACTCAGGGATGATGCAACGTCCCCAAACTGCTCCAGCTCGCAAAACGACGTCGATTTATTTATTTACGGCAACGTCAACAATCATGAGACAAAAACAGTCGACACCATGAGAACTTGCTCACCTCGACTTTGGTCAGTGACCTTGTGACTCTTCACGGGGATGGCGGGAAAGAGGAGGGGTGGGGGGGGGGGGGCAAAGATGGCCAGGGAACAGGCCGGAGCATAACGGGGAACAGTAGCCCGGCGCGGGTCTGTCGCGGCGGCCGGGTATTGATCAGCATTTGTACCTACTAGTTGGTGACAGAGGCCGCTGGCCGCGCCGGCCACTGGTGCGGGCCGGCAGTGCGGCCGGCGGGCACAAACACAGGATCGGGAGGCGGGGCGGCCGGCCGCCGGCTCGAGGTCACAAGCGGGCGCAGGCCGAGCCCGATAGGATGCGCGGCGGTTGGTGGCGGCGGCCGCCGCCGCCGCGGGCAGTACACAAGATGCACGGCTCTCCTCCGTGATCGCAGACACCGTTGCCGTCGGGTTTCAGATCCGTCGCATGTACCACAGCACAGAGCGGCGCCGGCCAGTGAAGCTCGTGGGTTCACTGCGCTCTACTCGACAGTACAAGAATGCGGCAACCTCCTCACAACACCGCTGAAGACTGACTCACAGATCTAACCTCAGAACGCCTACAATCACGGCGCAAACGAACAAGGGAGAGGAGCCGAGGAGAGCTCCGGGCTCCCGAAACAAACATTCGTCAACCCTATCCAAAAATATGCTCTAAAAATGGCGGCCGGCACTGCTGACTGGTTCGGGCTCCGCTGGCTTCGCTGGCCCACAGCGCTGGCGTGGTCCCAAGACTCGCACTGTCGGCGGCGCGCCCCTCTTCCGGCGGCCGGGGCCGCGCCGCCGCCGTCCCGACACAGCCCGGAGCGTCCCGCCGCCCGGACGCGCGCTGTCCCTCGGCCGGCGCGCTGTCCCTCGGCCGGCGTGCCGACACTGTCCGCAAGTGCGGCGGGCCTCGCCACGGCGGGCCCTCTGTCGTCCAGACGCGGCGGCCCGGTGCGGAGGCCGCGGTCCACTCCCACTGGTCCCAAATGTGCAGCACCCCTGTGCGGCGGCGGCGGCGGCGCGGACGCAGATGGCCGCGCCGCCCGGCGGACTGCCGACAGAGCGGGGAATCGTGTCGGCGGTCGTCGCCGCCCGCTGTGTGTGTGCCGCGGACAGGCGCGTGACAATGCCCGCGGTCGGCCGGGATACTATCCGGATGCGTCGCCGCGGCGTCCCGGGAAATGGCCTTGATAGGCCGGACATCCCATTACCACACAAAGGCGAGGGAGGCACGAGAGAGTGCTGGCCGCGGGGCCGACGGCTGGGGGGGGGGGGGGGGGGAGGGCTGGCGGTGGCGGTGCGGCTCAGCTTATCAGAGGCTGGTGCGATACAGGACTGACTGACCACGCAGGGACCGTAGCGGAGCACGGGACCGCACAGAGACAGTATGAAATACAGGACTGACTGCACATGGACCGTGTTGGAACACAGGACCGCACAAAGACAGGATGAAATGCAGGTCTGACTGCACATGGACTGTGGTGGAACACAGGACCGCACAGAGACAGGATGAAATACAGGACTGACTACACAGGGACCGTAGCGGAGCACGGGACCGCACAGAGACAGTATGAATACAGGACTGACTGCACATGGACCGTAGCGGAGCACAGGACCGCACAGAAACAGGATGAAATACAGGACTGACTACACAGGGACCGTAGCGGAGCACAGGACCGCACAGAGACAGGATGAAATACCACACAGAGACAGGATGAAATACAGGACGGACTACACAGGAACCGTGGTGGAGCACAGGGCTGCACAGAGATAGGATTAAATACAGGACTGACTGCACGTGGAGCGTGCTGGAGCACAGGACCGCACAGAGAAAGATGAAAATACAGGACTGACTGCACATGGACCGTGGTGAAACACAATACCACACAGACACATGATGATGATGTGTCTGTGTGGCATTGGGCTTGGTGGGCTTCAGGAATACACACAACCAGTAGTGAAGGACACATACAGGGCTACACGTGGGCGGTGGTGGAGAAGAATGCATGGTCATACAAACCGGCGAGGTGCATGCTACCCTCAGATCGTGCTCAGATACGGGATCACCCACGACCGTCGACATTGGACTGCAGCACTGCATTAACATCACGCTTACGAGTAAGGCCGTGTTCCATCGGATTTCAAGTTTGTGTCTTTCCTGTTCTTTAATCGGTGATGTGTCTGTGCTCGCACCAGTGCCCCTTGTCAAGGTTGGCTTTATTCCGCAGCATTGGCATAAAATAGCCACTCACTAGCGGACTTGCACAAGTTTACAGATGCATGACAGCGTAAACAGTGATTTGGTTCAGAACCACATGGACACAGCAGTGGGACACAAAGTACGCAGTGAGTGTTGGGACACGCGGCAACCCAGAGCCAGTGGCGGGATCCAAGGCTACTCAGTCCCAGCGGCGCGAGCAGGACTACCCAGAGGCAGTGGCGACGCACAGTATCACTGACAGCCTAGGACATGACGGGCTGGACCAGGCTCAGCACTGCAGCAGAACCGGGATCTATGCAGAGCCAGCTCTCGACAGTAATGCTGTTGGCAAAGCTGGCATCGAACAGTTGCCGCAATATAAGGCTGGAAACCAGCAGCGGAAGAAAATAAAGTATCTAATGCTGATCTACCAAGACGGGCGCCTGCGGCTGCGAGCGCCCTTGGGAGCCGACGCAGCCGCATCAGCCGTATCTCACCTGTGGTAGACCAGCCGCAGCCGCGATCATGACGACTCTTTCTTCGTTGTGAATGAGACAATGGAGCGAATCCCTCGGACCGAAATCTGCGGCATTGACACCAGGTGGTGAGCAGACCTTCTCAACGCTGGATGGAGAAGGGCAGTACCCTATTAAAAATGAATTTCTCAGTCGTCACTAAACCGACAAGCGTCAGTGGTTCAACTTAGTTTCAGTGCGACAAATCAGTATTAAATGTGCATAACTGTGAGGAGGAATATAGCAGCTGAATACGGAGCGATATGGCGTGGATCGAAGGGAACGCAATTACTCCACCATGGTCTTACATGAATACGGTGGTTATCACTGCCTCTGTACAAACAGCTCAATTACAAGCGGATGTCAGTAGCATGGGTATAGATCGTGTAACTTATTCACGCGCTCTAAAAAGCGCTTCTCCACCTGCCGTGTGTGCATCACATTCGCTGAAGCGTGCTTGCATCTAATTTTGTACAAACCACGAGACACCAGCTAGACATGTTAGCTAATTCATTCGCTGAAAGTCGGCCACTGTTGCAATCGTTTCCAAGAAGTGTACTGCGTTTGTCTTTGTTGAGTCTAGCATAGATTACGGGCATTCGTACAGCGGCCTTTTGCGCGGTATGGCTAAAATCAACAAGCATCCAGTTCTTCACATATACAAGCGCCAGTGGGGAATGCCCATTTTGCAGATGTCTGTGGAGGCGACTTCTCTGAGGCGCATGTTTCCGAACCTCCTTACCTTCTTTTTGGTACCTGCCATGTACTCTTTGTACATTTCCGATCTAAGGTAACGCGAGTAACTGTCCGACTTCATCAGTTGGTAGAGATGGGCCTGCGGGCGTAAGGGTCGGATGACGTCATATGGGGTGGCAAACAGGGCTCCGTCCAGCTCCGAAGATCTCCAGGGTCAACACATCTGAAGTGTGTGTGGGGGGGGGGGGGGGGGGTTCGCACTCCTCTCCCAGTGGATGCGATCCTGGTTACAGAGATTTATGAAGCCTAGCAGTAGTCTGACACTGTTGGGCGTCTGTACGATCAGCCCTTTTACAACGTTTTTTTTTCTATACCGCCACCGAAGAAGAACAGGTAACCAGAAGTGCC